TTACAGTGTAAATAATATGACATTAATCCATATTTATTTGCCAGACTATTCTACACTTTATAATGTGCGGTGTAGAGTGTGGGAAATAAATATAAATATAAAGGAACTTCTTGCCACAACTTTTCATTTTGCCACGTGAATATTCCGGTTCGGATGCGAAAGTCAAAGTTTACTTTTATTTCGCGAAAATGTTGTCATCTTTATTGTTTTTTTTAATTTTGTTGTATTATTTTTTTTTCTTTTTTTCCTTTTATTTTGTACTTGACATTTTTATTCTGTCTTATTTTAATTTATTTTTTATGTTTTTTTTATTTTATTCTGTCTTATTTTATTCTATTTTTTATTTTATTCTTTTGTATTTTACTCCTTTCTTATTTTATTCGTTTTAATTTTTTTTTACTTTATTCCTTTCTTATTAGTTCTTCTAAATAAAAAAAGTAAATTTTTATTTTATTCTTTTCTGATTTTATTCTTTCTTATTTTATTTTATTTTTTACTCCTTTATTTGATTTTTTTTGTTATTTTATTCTCTCCTAATTTATTCTTTTTTTTACTTTATTCATTTCTTATTATTTCTTTTAAATAAATTGAAATAAAGTAAATTTTTATATATTCTAATTTTTTTATTCATTATTTACTTTCTACTAGAACTTTTGCGGCGGTTTTTATTTATTTATTTTTTTAGTTTTGTTATTTGTAACTTCTTTTCCTCCATTATTGCGAGACTTTTATGAGCTATGAAATATTAAGAAATTTTCTTACAAAATATATGTTATTGACACTTCATATACTTCCGAGTCAGTTTACGTTGATAAAACAGCTAAATAAACGTTTTTTTTTTTTGTTAAGCAATAGTATTGAACCGTTGATTTTGCAATTAACATAAACATGAATAATTTAGTTTCAAATTTAGTCAGTATTATTTTGTATTTTTTTTCAATTTAAAATTAATGTATAGTAGTTAAAAGAATATACAAAAAATATACGTTCTAACTTTTTCTTCAAAAATTAATTATCTTTATTTTTTTATTTCTTGGTGCTACGATTTTGTTTTTTCACTTCTTACAATCTTTGTTTTTTTATTTATATTATTATTTTTCTTTTATTGTAATTTCTGTGATTTAAAAAATTGAATTTATTTTCTTTATAAAATAATTATTTTATGTTTATAATTATTTATTATAATTATATTATTTTCATTTTTGTTCTTTCATTTTAATTGTAAAATTCTTGTACTTTTTACAATTTTATTTTATTATTTATTGTTTTTTTTATTTTTTTTATAATTATATTTTAATTTTTACATTATTTATTTATAAATTTATTATTTATTTTTTCCTTGAATTAAAATCTGATTACAATAATTTTGCGCCACGAATCAAGAAAATTAATTAAAATATTTTGAAATGCAAAATAAAATTGTAATAAAAAATTAAAAACCTAAATTTTATTTAAGTTTTTAATTTTTTTTTTGTTAATTTAATTTTTTATTGCAGTCAATAATTTATGAAAATATTTTTAATGAATAGGTCGTGTTCGATTTTTTTTTAAATTGTAGAAAAAAACGTTCAAAACTTTCGGTCGTTTCTTTTAGTTTAATTATACAAATTTCTTTGATTTTTTTTTAACAGAAAAAAAATTGTGTTTATACTAAATTTGCTAAATTCGTTTTTACTTTATCGATTTTTCGTTGAATTTTTCGTGTTTTGTTTTATGATTATAAAATGTCGAATGCAATAAAGGTTTAAATGAATTCTTGGAGCGAATTGACAAGAATGCAGGTTGCTACACTGTAGTGCCAATTAAAAGGAAAAGAAGTTCATATAAGACTTTCGCGACTGAGTCACTATTTATGTGTCCCGGATATGGTGTCTTACACGTTTTTACACTCTTTTTTTCTCTAGTAAATTTTTACGTAGAGGAAAAAAAGAGTTTTTCGTTTTATTTTTCTTTTTTTTTCTAATACAAAAGAAAAATATCTGATTACAGTATTCAAGAAAGTTTAACATAATAATTATGCATTAACAAGTTTACAGTTTCGTAATATTCGCACTATTCCCGTGAAGGAAGGAAAATATAAACACTAGGTTAAATTTTTGCGCATATTTAAATTTTTCCAAAGTTTTACAAATGTAACGACAATTTTATTCTTTTACTCAAGTCTTTATTTTTTAGTAGCTTATTTTTTTAGTGGGAAGGGTAATTTTTTTCTTTTTTAGGGGTCTGGGTATTTTTTTTTGGTATATTTTTTGGAACGATCTTTTTTTTTGAAGCGATTTATTTGAATATTTATCATTTTTCTCTTTCTTTTTTTAGTAATGCAGTTGCGGTGAATTGAAAACTTGTTTTCTTTATGCACTATTGTTCTCCTCATGAGTCGACTCACGTGAATAAATAGAGATTCCAGCTTAGGCTAATATCATCCTCAGAATTCTTATTTGAATCTTTTACACCTCTCACCTTGACACACATTTTCGTGACTAGAGGTTGCAGTACATTCTCTATAAGTGGAGTTAAAAATCTCTTCATTTTTTACTGTCACTCATCTTTCATGTATAGAAATATTCAATTAAAAACAAGTATTTAGAAAATGTGAAAGAGAAAATTTTCCTTCTTGAATAGAATACAAATTTCTTTACAGTTAACTTTGACAGTTTTTATGAAAAAATAATTAATTACAAAAATTATTTTATAAAAAACGGTTTTACGAATTTTAGGCAACTTTTTCGATTGATTCGATTTTTTGAATTTTGAAATTAGAAAAAAATATTCTTTTCTTCGATTTTTAATATTTGATTATGTAAATGTATAATAATAAACCTTTTTTTTCTCCGTTATCCGAAAATTATATATAACCTTGAAAAAATGATAAATGTCGTCATCTCGTCGTCGAAGAGCGGAAACAAACTTATCGCAGCCGATTAGGAAATATCAGCACTAGCTTGTTTAGTGTCAGAGAAAATATTCTTTATAATTATTTTTCACATTGTCCTGCGAGTGAAAAATCGGTCACCGTCGCGTATACTTGGCAAGCTAGAAAAATCTATAATAAAAACAGCACGATATATAATTGCTGCAATGGAATTCCTTTCGTTTCAAAGTTAGTAGCAAAGAGATCTCTTCTTTTCTTTGACAGGAAATCGACGTGCTTTTTTCTTATAAATAAGAAGAAGAAGAAGAAAAAAAGAAAAAAGAAAACTACAAAATTTCCAACTGAATGTAAAATGTCGAGCAACTCACGATACATGACATTCAATCCAACGAACCGTTTTTCCCAGCCCACTGAAGAAGTGGCGCAACGCTTGACTTCCGTTTGGCTCCTGGAATCTTGTTGTGGAAGCTGTTGCTGTCCATGGAAACGTCGCACATCAAAAAAATCTGATGATAAATTCAAAGACACGAGGAGTGAAGAAAATGACAATTCTCGAGTTATTAATGACAATGACGATTTGGCAGAGAACATTGAATTGAATTCCTATCATCAGCCTCTTAATATGATTAAAAATTCGAATCAAGAAAAAAATTTCGCTAATGATTCTAGTGACGATTGTCAAGAAAATAAAAATAATTCTAGTGAAGATGATGATGAAGAAGAAAAACAAAAAAGTGGTACAGATACAAAGGAGGAATTATCAACAAAAAATATTGAATCGAAAGAAAATAATTCGAGAAATGACGAGAAAGCAGTTTCAAAAAAATTTGATTCTATTTTTAAAACAAATAAAAAATTTCTAAGAAAGTTTTCCCTGGATATTGGTAATGAAAAACAGAAAAATGTGCCAATTTTTCGAAAATACTCCCTCGCCGATGATGTTGAACCCGATGGTTCTCCGATTTTCAAAAGATGCGTTAGTTTCAAACATAAAAAACAAAATAGTGAGAATAATTCGAATTTCATGACTCAAAGTGAAATAGACGAAAATGAAGAGATTGGGAATAGTGCCGAGAAAGTGAGAAATAAAATTAAAGAAATGAAAAATAAAAGAGAAGAAGTAAAAAACAGTGACGAAGAGATCGAAAATAAACTCGAAGACTTAAAGGAAGAAAATAGTAGTGAAGACGAGGAGACAAAAGGTTTATTTGACAGTGACACTGACAGTGAAGACTATCAAGATTTTTTTGAATTTGCCGACAATTTGTCTTTCGACAATTTCAATAGTCAACAAGACGATAAAAAATTAAACATTGAAAAAAGAAATTCAAGAATGAAAATTTTACCGAAAAACGGAATTCTTTCGGTATTGCCTAATGTTCAGGAAATTGAGGAAGAAATTGGAAATTCGAGTGGTATTATATATTTTTATATGATTCTGACCTCGTGAATTATTCTATATTTGCTTCCCTCAAAAAAAAGAAAAAAATTTAAAAAATTTCTAAAGTTCTAAACAAAATTTATTTGTTTTTATTCAAATTAAAATTTTTAATTCAGTTTTATGTAAAGTACCCCAAAAAATTAATTATTAGTTTCTAAATATTTACTTAAAGTTTTTAATTTTTACAAAAATATCATTAATATCTGGAAATATAGAAAAATATTTCGTTCATCATTCGAACATTCAAAACTTGTAGATCATATAAAAGTTGAATTATAGAATAAATACAAAAATATTTATAAATATTTATACAGCGAAACAGAATAAAATGGGTGAAAAGTATTTTTAAAAAAATATCTTCTCTCGTTAGTAGGAAGCAGAGCGCAGATAATAAATGAAATATTAAAAAAATTGTATTATTTAATTACATATATCAGATTTGAAATAGATTTTCTACTTTAAATTTAAAACAATAATGTACGATATTATATTATTTTATTGTATATTATTAATATATATTAATTATTATTATTCTATTAACACATTTATTAAAAAAAATAGTTTTAATAATAAGAGGAAAAAGAAAATTGTTTAATTGTGTAAAATTACAAACTGTGAAATAAAATGATTAATTTCTTCTCTAACGCAATGTGAGATATTTATTAAGCGTTTTCACTTTGATTACAGATGACGGGAGCAGTTTATCTGAAGCTTGCAGTACGCCTATTATTGGAGCAGGATCAAGAACAATATCCAGCCATGCGGTTATGGACATGGATGATATCGATCGCAACTTACATTCTGGACATCTTGCTACAAGAGCTTCACTCTCGAGCTTAGGGGTGAGTGTCCCTTTCAAACACTCTTTCTTTCTTTTTCTTTTCCTTTTTTTTTAAAAAAACAAAACGAGGAAAATCATCGTACAGTTTCGATTTTCTGCTACTAAATTTAAATTCCAACATAAGGGAGTTCAGAAAATGTTTTCGATTAAAAATAAAATTATATTTGGATTAATTCAACTTTAATTTAATTAATTAAGTAAATAACTAGCAAATTTTACGTTATAAATATTCAATTTATTATTGTTATACAAATTACAAAATTTTTTATTTTCTAATTCAACTTTATAATATTTGAACAATTTCAGAATCAAAATCTAAAAAATTGACTTATTAAGTATATTGTTCATTATTATTGATTATTATTTTTAAACATTTTAATAAAATTCTTTCCAATACTTTAATTATTTTCATAAATAATAACATTCTTCGGAAGAATTCAATTATTTTTATAAATATTTAAATTCTTTGCAGAAATTCAATTATTTTCAATACAGTTTTAATAAAATTTTGCGAAAGGATTCAATTATTTTTATAAATAGTAAAATTCTTTGCAGAAATTAAAATATTTTTATAAACAATAAAATTCTTCTCAGGAATTCAATTATTTTCAAATTTATATTTAATGATATTTTTAAGATATAATATTTAACGATAAATATTAATATAAATAATAAAAATTAGTAATAAATAATAAAATTAGTAGAAAATAATAAAATTTAGTATAAAATATAATTAGCAAGTAAAAATACTATGTATAAATAATTTTATAATTTATTATCTGGTTTATTAATGAATAACGATGACCTTTTTTTTTATCATTTTATGGAGATTTTACAATTTTGGATGCAAAATAAAAGATACGGAGAGGCCTGTCGATACCTCGTGCACCATAAATGTTTTATGGTAAAATGATACCTCAAATTTCACGATAGAATATATCAAACAGTAAATTTGTTATCGCTTTTTAGTGCGTACAATAAAAGTATAATAGATTATTTTCCCGCAATAGATTTTTAGTGTAAAATGCTAATGATAGAAAAGTATTTTTTTTTTCTTCAAACGTAATAATACCTTGAAGTATGTTGTTTAAAAATATTACATTAGTTTAAAATTTTTTTAAAAATAATGTATTTGTTTAATTTTTTTTTTTAAATAATATATTATTTATGAAAATATTTTATTTATACGAAAAAGAAAATATTTCGTAACAATAAACAAAGGGAGAATTATTTTTCACTTTGTATGTAAATCGATGAGTATTAATTGAATTTATTACGCTATTTACTTTCTCTTCTATGGTTTTGAAAAAAAAATATTTAAATAACCCTCTGCATTGTGCTTTGAAAACCGGTATGATAATTTTTTTGTCTAGTTAGAGAAAAAGAGACTTTGTTTTTTTTTAAAAATAATTATGTTAATTTACTAATTATGTTAATGTTTGTTAAATATACGTGTAATATTTAACATTCGTTTAATGTTAAAATGTTATTTAATATTAATATAATTAATATATTTCAGGCGAGATCGGATTCCATGGCTTCGGTGTATAGTGGAGCTGGCGAAGGAAGATGGTGTGGTTCGGTGGCTGTTCGTGGAGAGGTTGAATTTTCTCTTCAATACGATTACAAGCAACTTACATTTGAGGTTCACGTGACTCAGTGTCGAGATTTGGCACCAGTTGACGTCAAACGTAATCGTTCCGATCCGTACGTTGAATTATTCATTACACGTTGAACAAATTTGCCAAAGTAGTTGAAATATTTTTTCTTTTACTATTATTAAATATTTTTTTGTGATTTTTTCCAGATACGTTAAAGTCTACCTTCTGCCCGACAAATCCAAGAGCGGAAAACGCAAGACCAAAGTGAAAAAACATACTTTGAATCCTGTCTTCGACGAGACATTAAAGGTGTGTTTTTTTAGCTGTTTCAATTTTCTATTTTTTTTATTCATTATTTACTTTGCGGCGGTTTTTAATTATTTTTTAGTTTTGTTATTTGATTTTCTACTTCTATTGTTTCTTATTTAATTTTTTAAAATTATTATTCGATAACATTATTACTATAAATTCAAATTAGTTTTTTTTATTTATTTAGAAATATAATTATTGAATTAATTGAAACATTGTTTGCAGTTTCTCAAAATGTTTTTAAATTATTTTGTTATAAAAAGGCCTAAAAATATTATTTTATTCATTTCGGTTATTTTTTTAATTAATTTATTTTATTGCTTCCTCATAGAGAAAAGGTTGTATTTTTATTTATAATAATTATATTAACATTATTATTATGTTATTATATTTTTTATTTATTCCTTTCAGTTTCACATGAGTCTGAATGGTCTGGAGACGAGGACTTTGTGGTTAACTGTTTGGCACTCGGATATGTTTGGTCGAAACGATTTTCTCGGCGAAGTTCGAATGCCCTTGGAAAATAAAATTTTCGATGATCCACGACCACAGTGGTATCCACTTCAGGAACGGGTTAGTTTGAGCTTAAAATAATAATTTAATAAAAAAAAATTCGCTAGTTTTAAAAATAAGTTTTTAATTTTGTTTTTGCTTATTTTTCTTTAAGACTGAACCCTTCGACGACCCAATCGCTTACAAGGGCGAGGTTATTGTCGGATTGAAATTCGTCCCACCGGATCCCGCTCAACAGGAACGAGATCGTGAAATGGGAACCGATTATCGTGGCAAAATGAGGAAAAACTGGAGTCGAGGCGCTCTTCATGTTCTTGTGAAAGAGGCGAGAAATCTTCAGACACGAGCAAAGCACACCGGCTCCTGTGATCCATTTTGCAAGAGGTAAGAAAATTTATTTCGAAATCTTAATATATTTTTAATCAAACCAAAAAGCACTTTTTTATTCCCATCACGGAAATTAATGTTTTTTCTAAATTAGAAGGAAATATTTTTTTTAATCAAAAAGAATTATTTTCTCTTAATGAAGAAGAAGAAGTATTATTTCTTTATTAAAAATAAATATTACTAAATGAAAAAGAAATACTTTTTCTATATTAAAAAGAAATTTTTTTTAAATGAGAAAGAAATATTTTTTCTAAATTAAAAAGAAATATTTAATTTGTTAGTTGCTTTTTAAAGAAAGAAATTCTTTTTTAGTTACCTTCTGCCAGACAAAGGACGTTCTGGAAAGCAGAAAACTGGAGTGGTGCGGCGATCAGGCGGCTCACCTGTTTGGAATCATACCTTTATTTATAAGGACGTGAGTCTTCAGGAGTTGGCTGAACGAGGTCTTGAACTCACTGTTTGGGACCACGATCGTATCGCGAGTAATGAGTTCTTAGGTGGCGTACGATTTAATCTCGGCACTGGTAAGTTCTCGGAGGCAAAACAATAACAGGATTTCTAGTCAGTTTTTTTTCTATTCTACCGAACATTTTTATTTAGCATTGACACTCACAGAAACCACGGCAGACGACTGATAAGACAATTGCTTTTTTTTTTTTTTTTAGAAAAACCGTTGAAACAGATAATTCACACCAAAGCAATTTTTTCGGGTATATATTTTTGCTTTTTTAAAAAGTCTTTTACAGTTTCTTGCTGTAAATACACTACTTCGATATTTAGTTATAGTTACATACTTTGAAACAATTAGTATTTTTCAGTTATTGTCTTCTTTGTAGACTAATAATAATATTAATAGAAATTAATTACATACAGTCTTTTTTGTTACAATATTAACATTTTTTCGATATTTTTTATTTTTAGTATTTAAAATAAATCGGGTTTTTTTTATTTTATTATTATTTTTTACTTTATTATTAATAGCAAATAATACGCGCGAAACGCGGTATTCCATTTATTATTATTTTGTAAATTAAAAAATTTTATATTTTAAAGAATAAACATCAATTTTTGAATGATTATAGATTCAAAATTTAAAGAATTCACTTATTAAGTACATAATATTAAAAATTCTTGTTTATTATTATTATTATTCAAAAGTTTTAATAAAATTTGTTTCAAGAATTTCATTATTCCCATGAATAATAAAATTCTTTAAAGAAATTCAATTATTTTTAAAAATATTAATTAAATTCGATATTAAATTTTTTTCCTCTAGGAAAACATTATGGAAAACTAGTCGATTGGATGGATGCAACGGGACGTGAATTATCCCTCTGGCAAAATATGTTGGAGAGACCAAACTTTTGGGTCGAGGGAGCAGTAACATTGAGACCGAATCTTCATAATCATGGAAAAAGCGGCTCCTTCTAAGACTGTGCATTCATTAATATCAACGAAATTTCGGGCAAGAGTGCATTAATTTTATTAAATTAGGTAAAAATGAAACAAAAAGATTTTGAGAAAAAAGAAACAGCCAATAATGTCAATGTCCTCTTCACAAAATACGTTTTTTATATACGAAAAATATTCTGCATTGCCGATAGAATTTTACATGGAAACTAGTGCCTTCCGGATTATTCGACCAATATTGCGCGATGCCCTAGAATTTTTTGATATCCTCGATCTCCAGTGAAAAGAATTACTCTTTCCTTTCATCGTTATATAAAAGGTAAATTGATTTAAAATTTTTTTTCAATTTGGAAACAATGACTAATGAATCTATTTACAGAAAATAGATTCATCAGTTTTTGTTTTTTCTTATTTATTCTAAAAAAAAATTTATTTATTTCAAAAAAAGTTCAATTTTGTAAAATAAATTTTGTGTGAAATTTATTTATCTAAAATTTAACTTTTTTGAATAATATTTAATATAGTATTATTATTATTATTATTATTATAATTTTGGTTCAAAACTTAAACTCCAAAAAAGGAAAGAAAATAATACGAAAATTAAGAGATAAATTTAATTTATCTATAAAAGTTTTTTCTTTATTTCTCCAAGAAAAGGGTTTCTTTCACCGGGGAGTAGACTTTAAAAAAGTAATTAAAGTATAAGCTTTTAGGAGATATTTAGAAAATATTCATAATATGAAATGAAATAAAACATTTGTGATGTTTAATTTTGATTTATTAACGATAATAAAACATCGGGCAATGCAATAAAATGCCACATCTATATTAGATAAAAGTATAATCAAGTGAAATGAAACAAGAAAAAAAACTAGCCATTAGGATAATATACGTATTTTGTATGCGATGAGATTAGCTCTGGAATTTTCTAACAATACACCAAGGAAATGGCAATTTTTCTAATTTTTTTATTAATTAAAATCATTAAGAACAATTATAAAAAAAGTTCTTCTAGGAATTGTGAAAAAAACTGTGTTATAGAGTAACTTGTGCCAATTGTATACTGAGAACCAAACATTTTTTTTTTGTGAATAATTACCAAAAAAAAAATTTCCTTGAGTCTATTGATAGATATTTCTCTATATTCAAAATAAAAAAATACCGAATTTCGTTTCAACTTGTCAAAAATTCAAGCAGAGCTTTTTTTATTATAGAGAAAAAATTTTCTAGTTGAGATAAAAATGTGAATGTGTGTTGAATATTTTGATTCTACGTGGCCAATGGGAATTTTTTTTCACTCGATTAATGTGAAATTTACATCACAAAATCTGTGTGTGAAAAAAATTTTTAAAAAAACTGTTCTCGTTAATTAATTAAAAATAAAATTGGACAGTTTTCTCTCAGAATGAGAAAAAGACATGCTTCCATTTTGTACGTTATATTAGAAAATGAAAAAAAAATCATTCTCTCTTTAAAATAACACATTGTTATTCAAGAGACTTAAATCATTGTATTTAAAAACAAACTATTTAAATACGCTGGATTTTCTTTTTAAAATAGATTTATTTATAATATAAAATAGATATACATATAAAATTATTATCCATATACAAATTGTTGTATACTTCTTAAAAGTAGTAAAAAAAGACATCGTAGATAAGAAATATTGATAAAATTAAAATTGATAAATAATTCGTGAAAAAAACAAGTATTTAATAACAAATAGTACTTAAATTTGCAGAGAACAAACGAAAAATGCAAGGCTGAGTCGATAAAAAAATTAGTACCTTAAATATTGTACTTAATTATTGCGTTGATTCCTTCAATTTAAGGAATGCAGTTATCAGTTATATATATATAATATTTGTATTTTAGAATTTATATAGATAGTTCCATTTATTGATAATTCGTATGAATTATTCGTGAGATATTATTATCGTTTTAAAAAAACAGGGTTGTTCGTTGAAAACGAGATAAAAAGGAAACAACTGCCTTTGATGAATTTTTAATGCGTATCAATTTTATTGATATATTTTTTTCTTAATATTGCATGTTGTACGACTTTTATCGAATATATAATTGAAGTAAAAGAAAAAAACAGAGAGAAAAATTCGTCGTACGCTAAATTGGAATTGTTATTTGTTATCTGTACCAAATCGTGAAAGCTCACGCCTCTATAGTACTATACATTCCTTTTATTTGTATAAAAAAAAGGATGGAATAAGATTGTTTATTTATATTCCACTTTTGTCGATGTACAATGAAAAAAAGAAATAAATCTTTTGTACCTTTACACAGCGATTGACCATTCAGTCTTTCGAAACGATATTTAATTAATGATAGAGCAATTCGATTGCTATTTTAATTATTTTTTTTAATATTAAAGTTTTCAATTGGAAGCATTTTTTCTTTCGAATTTTCCTCGAAAATGTTCACAAGCAAATTTATGGATTATTATTATTTAATTTATTTATTTCTTTCAGATGATTAAATAAATTAAATAATAATAATCGATAAATTTGTTTGTGAACATTTCCGAGGAAAATTCGAAAGAAAAGAATAAAGAAATTAAAATGAAAGAATAGAGAAAGTAAAACGAAAGAATAAAGAAAGTAAAATAAGAAAATAAAGATAGTAAAATAAAAGAATAAAGATAGTAAAAAGAAAGAATAAAGAAAGAAAAAAAGAAAAAAATGTCTAAACAAAAATATAAGAAAAAATATTATTAATTAATAAAAAATCTGTTAATAAATCGATTATTTTCTAGATATTGCAAATAGAAATCTATTTTTAATAGAAATCATTTTTGGTAAATCTACTTAATTGTTAGGAATATATTAAAAAATAATATTGATTGTTTTCTATTTGAAATGCAAGTGAAATTATGCTTTGAATGTAAATACTTGCTAATTGAGATTAATAAGCAAAAAAGGAAAGAATTTCATTTTAATGATTCACAAATCATTGTTGGAAATAAATCGATTACCTTCGGAATTTTTGCCGGAGTAGCGATACCTGCATTTTCCATAAGCTCCTGAAGCAAAAAAATTATTTAATTATTTAATTATTTAATAATTAATTATTTAATTATTATTTAATTTTAATTATAAAATTACAATAATTCAATTACATTAAAATTTCCATTGATTCAAGTAATTTTTTAGGTTTTATTTCTTAATTTTTATTAAGGTATTAAAAATACAAAGATATTAATATTTTCAAGGTTTTTTTTACTTTGAAAAAAGGAATTAAATAAAATTGAAAAGAAATTAATTTAATAAAATAAAAAAAACAATGTTTTTAATTTTTAAATCTGAGTGGAAAAATTATAATTAAATTTTAACACAATTTAAATTTAACAGAACAAACTTTAAAAAATTATTTAGAGATCATTGAATTTTTAATAAATTGAATTAATGAAGTGACTTTTGTTTTATTATTAATTTTCGAATTAGTTTTAATTTATTTAATTATATGTTATTTTTAATTAATTTAATTATTTTGTTTTAATTCATTTAATTATTTGTTACTTTTTAATTTATTTAATTATTTGTTATTTTAAATTTATTTCGTGTAAATAGTATTTTTCTTCTCTCTTTTTTTTGCAGAGAAATAAAAATGTACCTTTGTGATCGTATGGACCACGTGTTGTTCGTGGCAAGGGAGTGTAATTAACATTAAAAATAGCTTCATCAAATTCGCCGACTGTCAGTGTGTCAAAACAATTTGGCGAGCTTGATCGCTCTGGAACTTTGACGGTCTTCAAATACTGTCCCCGATTTTGAGCTTCATTACGCTCCTGAAAAGACACGGGCCGTGAATCCAAAAATCGAAGAGTTTGTGGCAATGTGTAGATTGCATATAATCGATAACGTTCATAATCGTCTTCGTCATTTAATGTTGGATCCGTCAATTGATCAGGACAACCTGGATTTCCAAGTAAGCTAACGTATCCAATTTTTGGACAACAGTCCCGTATTTTTTGCAAAACACTATAAATATCTGTAAACTGAAAATTTATTTCTTTTTAATTTTTTTTTACCTATTTTTTATTTTTACTTACTATTTTTTTATTTTTTGAACTGAAATTAAATTTCAAGACATTTCAATTTGATGAAAATAGTTGCAAAATTAAATAAATTAAAATAAGGGAGAAAATTCAAAGGAAATGAATAAAATTCAACTCTTAATTTTAATAGATAAGATTAAAAAAACGGGTATTTTAACGGTTTCGCGATACCTTTTAATTTGGATGTCACGTGCAGTATAATTAGGAATAATATTAAACTCCAAACAAAGGTAAACGAACGAATGACATTTTCTGAAGATTTCTTTTATCTCTATACGCCTGATAAGCAACGACCGCAACGGCGATAAAAAAAATTCAGAGAAATAAAAATTCTTTCACGTCTTTTGTGTTATTTAGATTAAAAATTTAAATTTGCAATTATTTCCCGCCAAATATGTTAAATGTCATCAAGAAAAAAAAAATATACCTTATTATTGTTGAGACTCAGTGTTGAAAGGTGAGGCATTATTGGAAGTGATTTTAAGTCCTTGAGATCATTATTATCCAGAATTAATTCTTCTAATTGTGTAAAATTCTTGACAGACGAAACTGATTTCAATTCATTGAATGATAAATCCAATCCCACACAATTACATCCTACAATTCCGAATAAACCACATGGAATTTTTTCAGCTCGTTGACCGGTATAGCAAACCTATTAATAGGAATCATTAAAAACGAGATTATATAGTTACTTTGAAAAACTGTTGTTAATAGTAATTATCTGCGAGGAAAATTTTTACAACTTTGTCTGAGCGAATTGTTAAAGCACTTCGATTAAAATCCAAGTCTTTATGTTCAGCCATCTTGAAGTTTTCTACTTGTTTTATGTTGGTATTTGTCACTATACTTATATACTTCCTGACAAATAAATTATACGATATGTTTACAGAGGTTACGATCTCTTATCCCTACTAAAAAAAAATAAGAATTGAAACTCGCTCTCTTTCTTATAGCGACAACATTGTCATTGTCCAATGTCTGCGGCTCGTTGGTCTAGGGGCATGATTCTCGCTTAGGGTGCGAGAGGTCCCGGGTTCGAATCCCGGACGAGCCCGTTTTTTTGCTTTTCTTTTAAATACTTGTTTACCGTATTTTGTTTAAAAAAAAACTAAAATGTGTCATTTTTGTTACTCGAGATCGAAAGAAGACGTAATCTTGAAAAATTATAATCTTTAATGTAAGAAAATTGTTTTCAAAGAGATTTCTGAATTCAAAGTTGAAATGTTTTTGTAAGATATTTTTAGGAGAGATTAGTCATCAGATTCTACCTCAAAAACTTTTATTTCCTTCTGACTCACTTGAGATCTATAGATCATTTCATATTCACTTTTTGAATATCATCATGTTTGGCGCCCTTTCTTAGCCAATCAGCATTTAGCTTTGTCTTTTCATTTCTGAAAAATACAAAATGGCGTCAGTGACACATTCGAGGCTGTCAAATCAGCTTGGGATACGCCTAAAGTTTACTCTTTTTTATTTAATATTTACAAAGAAAATACAATAATATGAATACAGTGAGTGTGGAAATAGTTTGTGACAACTAAGCTACTTATTGAAAATTAATGGTCCATGTAAAAGTTTTCCTTTGACCTGTTTTTTTTAACTTGCTCTCAGCACTACTTAGCCTATATCTTGAGCATCATGACACAACTTACTCTTTATCGATACAAAATTAAACGTTAATTACCGATAAAATTGGATATATTATTTTGTTTATCATACCTCTGATCGAGGTAAACATTTAACAAGTAATTTACACACATTTTTCATGGATATGAAAATTTCTTTTTGGTACGTAACACTTTCATTCTTATCTCCTCTTTTATGACATTTTACATGCTTGTCCCTATTTAATTTTTACCAGAGAAAAAAATAACACTAACTTTGTAAATAAATGAAAAGATAAATTATTTTGACATTTAATTTAGAATAATTTTGATACTTTGAACTTTATGGTTATTAAATCTACATTTTAACATTTTATGTCAATTTATAATAAATCTATTCTTTTGTGAGTGACATGTGCAAATAGAAATCTGTGACTTTCATCAACGAATACATTTCGTGGGTGAACCACTTTTATCTTATTTCATTTCGCTAAAACGGTATAATAATTGTAACTGTACTTTTATTTCGAATTGTTATTTTTTCAAAATTGGGTCAAAGTTCTTAGAATTGCAAAACTGTTATTTGCTTTGCGAATTGCTTTTGCAAAAAATTGCTTTTTAATTTTTAAATAATTATTTAAAAATTGAAAATGTTTGGAAAAAAAATAAAGTTGAGTTTTTTTGCATTCGATTTGGCAATTGATTTTTGTGTACAGGAAAATATAGAACAATTGGAACTTTCAATAGAATTCATTTACAAAATCATGAAATAGTTATTTAGATGTGAATATCTATTTTTTTTTAATAAAAAGTTCTATTTAAAGAGATATATGGAACTTTAAAGAGAATGGAATGAATATAACAATGTATGATTGAAGTGTGTTCCACTTTCGTTGAATCAATATCTGAAACAGAGTAATCAAAAACAAGCGAGACCTAGTGTATTAATTTTAATATTTCTAGTCAATTATTACTCTAATGAGTGTCTATGCAATTTAATTGAAAATTCCTTTCTTTTCTATATTATTAGGTAAAATTCTTTGTTTTGCAATGTTTTTTTGTTATTTATTATTTCAGTAATAAATTCCCTTTATTAAGGGAAGAATTTATTAAATTCTTTTGAACTATAATGCGAAAAATAACTATAAACAATTCTTTCAAAAATCGTTTTAAATCATTGTTTAACATAATTAAATTTTTCAAAAATACATCTATAAAAAAATCGTTTTGAATTGTTGATATTTTGTAAAATTTAATTGATAATAATTAATTTACTTTAAGTATTTTGTTACAATTCTTGAAAATTTTTTGAAAAATAAATAAATAGAAAAATCAACTTTCGAAGAATTTTAATTTCAAATTTTGAAAATAATTGAATTATCAAAAATTTTTAATGAAAAAATCTTTAAAGGTAAATTTATAAATGAAAATCAATGAAAATTAGCTTCTAATTTTTTAAAATTCAATATATTTTTAATTACATACTTTCAAAAATTTAAATATATATAAAATTAATATTTTAGAATTATTATTAACATTTTGAAGAAAGCAATCATGTTCAAAATTTTTATTTTAAAATTCATCAAAAGATTAATTAATTTTTTAAATTATACAAAAATTGTTTTAAGAAATTCAATTATTTTCGAAAATACATAAAAATATTTTAAATTTTTGAGACTGTTTATAATTAAAATTCTTTAAAAAGTTTTATCATTTTTATTTATATTTTTCAAAAATCCAATTATTTTTAAAAGATTTTACCAAATTTTAATTGTTTGGAAAATTTTCAAAACTGAAAAACTATTATCTTTCAAAATTTATTTTAAAATGTTTTTAAAAAATTTATTGTAAGAATTTCTTTATAATTTTTTGAAAATATTATATCTTAATAACTTGAGAAAAAACTATGGAGAGTTACAATTATTATAAAAAAATGAGTTTTTGTATTTAAATAATTAAATTCTAGAAGAATTTTTGGAAAATTATTTAAATTAATTTATTCAAAGAGGAAGTTTATTTATTTTCGATTTTGTTTCAAAAACAATAGATAATTATTAATTTGCTTATAATTTTTGCTGCTTTATTTTTATTAATTTAACTATTTTTTTATAGAAAATGTTTATTGTTGCTTTTATTTTATTTTAAAAAACGAACTCAAATTAACAAACCAGTACTCATTTCGATTTATATATCATAATTTATCATCTAAACGATATAAGGAGATTAAGTTTTTTTCTACTATTTATTTGTCCACAATTATTGTGCAATGAATTTTTTAGGGTGTCATAATTTAATTATGATTATAATTGAAATTTTTTACAGGTACAAATTAAGAATCTAATCGCGAAGGCTGTAAACTAGATTTTTATTTAAAAATGGAAGCAATAGTTGAATACAACTATGTGGCTCAAGAGCCTGATGAATTGACCCTGAAAAAAGGAGACGTCATTAAAGATATCAAAATGTTACATGGAGGTTGGTGGCAAGGAACATTGAAGGATAAGCGTGGCATGTTTCCTGACAACTTTGTCAAGGTAGATGACTATATTTGCAAATAAGAAAATATATACATATATTGCGCAGACCATTTTTAGTTTCATCGACCTAGAATATATATAACATTCATTTATTTACTTCGATATCATAATGTTTTACCTGTTACTTGTTACTTATCTTATCTTAACAATAGACGCAAATTCGAGGCTACAAATAACACAAAGACATGTATTACATTTATTTTTTTCAAATATTTTCAATTCTTATTGTGAACGCGTCGACCATTGTCGTATAAAAACGAGTAACAGTATTTTCGATTTTTAGGTAAAGTTCATTTTTTTAAACATGTTCTATTAATTTATTCTTACTATTATTATTATTAATTAATAATTGAAGCTATCACTCGGAAAAATTCTAATAATAGAGTTAAAATTATTTTTATTAATATTATTAGACGGAAAAAAGAATAAAATAACTTTTACTATTTTCGTAAAAAAATCTTGATTGACAGGAATTTCTGCGCAAGTATATTTTAGTAAAAATCAATAAAATATACTTTGAACGTAGCAAAATTTATTTCGGAAATTGGAAAAGTTAGATATTCAAAGCAGTTTGGGTTTTAATGTGTTAGTAGTAAAAGTTACTCTTTATATTTTTTCCACATACCAAATTTCGTAAAAGTATTACTTACAAATTATTTAATGAATAATTTTACTTAAATATTTCAAAATTAATTAGATTTTAAAAGAGTTGCGTTTATAATTTTCATAAATAGATGAACTTCAAAAGGTTTCAATTTGCAATTTTATAAAATTTCAATTTTCAATGAATTTAATTAGGAATTTTAAAGAACTTAGATTTTTGAAAAATTTTAATGATTCAAATTCTTCTGAATTCAATATGGCTTTAAATTAATTTTCTTGTAATTAATAATATTAATTTTTAATTTAGGTTTTAGAGACAACTGCGGGATCAGCGTCAGGAACACTGGCCGGAAATCGAACAAATATCGGAACCGGGGAGGGCAGCTCGAGTTCGAAAAGTGATGAGGTGACACTGCGTAACGGAGGATCGGGAAGACGAATTTGTCGTGTTTTATTTAGTTATGAGCCATGTAATGGCGACGAATTGAAACTTGTGCCCAATGAAAATGTTGAATTTTTGGGCGAAGTTGAAGAAGGTTGGTGGCGTGGAAGACTTAATCGACGTGTCGGCGTATTTCCCTCAAATTTCGTGAGTCCACCGTCTCATGAGGAAACGACAAAAAATAAGGACAAGGAGGTTGAGGAATTGTGTCGAGTTCTATTTCCCTATGAGACAACGAACGAGGATGAATTGACACTTGCCGAAGGCGATATTATTAAAGTGCTCTCAAAAGATGCACCCGATAAGGTTTCTTTCTTGTTTTGCTTTGTTAAAATTATTTTTAAATTTACGAAAAAAATTATTGATAATTTGATTAATTGCTATTACATTACCGATAAATTCTATTAAAAAACGAAGACCTCATTTTTGATGAGAATGTAATAAAAATTGTATTCACTCATTTTATGAAATTAAAAAGTAAAATTATTTTCTAGGGCTGGTGGCAAGGTCAACTTAGAGGACGAATAGGTTTATTTCCGGATAATTTTGTCGAAGTTTTAAATTCAAAAAGTGAACAGGAACATGATCAGTGTGAGGAGGTGAATCAAGTTGCGCCAAAAATTAAGCACTCAATAAAAGCAATTGAAAAAGCATACACTCGAAAAAGTTTAGATACTAAAAGCGTTAAGACAGGTAAATAAAATTTTATTTAAAAGAAAAGAGGATTATTAACTTAATCTTTTTTTTTGTCTAAATGAAAAATATATTAAAACAATAAATTTACTCTTGATCATAGATACGGTTGGTAAGAAAGTAGCATCACCACCTTCACCTCTAGGAAGCGGAAGTAGCGATAAAAAGTCTATTTTATCAAGTTTGAAACGCCTTGTGGGCGACAATGGCAGTAGCAGTAGTAATAATAACAGTAATAATAATGGAAATGGAAGCGTGAGTATGGGTTTGGAGGAAGAATTGGACGGTGTTGAGCGAGGAGAAGGTTTACCCCTTTCACATTTGACGGCCTCCAGAGCTAAAGCTCCTCGAAGACGACCACCGACTACACAACATTTACGACACACAGCTGCGTCTTCAGCTACTTCATTAACGTCGCCAGGACATGCTGCCAGTACAGTCAGTATTTCCTATTACTCCTTTAAATCTTTTTTTGTTTTTATTTCAATTTATATAAATTTAAGTTCTTTTTGAAAGAAAATTCTATTTTTCATTCTTTTTCCAAAAAAGAGATTTAAAACGATTTTATACTAAAATTAATTTTTATATTAAAATAGCAAATGATACGCTCGGAACGCGGTGTTCCATTTCTTATTATTTTGTAAATTAAAAAATTTTTATTTTCAAGAATAAACATCAATTTTTTAATTATTACAGATTAAAAATTTAAAAAATTCACTTAGTAATTACATAATATTAAATATTCTTCTTTATTATTATTCAAAAATTTTAAGCAACAATTTCATTATTCTCATGAATAATTAAATTCTTTAGAGCAATTCAATTAATTTCACTACAATTTTAATAAAATTTCTCTAAAGAATACAATTATTTTTTAAAATATTAATTAAATTCGATTATTTTCAATAATTTTAATATAAATTCAATTATTTTCAACAATTTTCATAAAATTCTTGTAAAAAAATCATTATTTTCAAAATTTTTAATAAAATTCCTTCAAAAAATTCAATTATTTTTAAAAATTCAGCTATAAACTTCTTCAAAACAATTCAATTATTTTTATAAATTTGTAAAATTCTTCACGAGAATTCAATTATTATCGCATAAATAAGAAAATTCTTCGCAAGAATCCAATTATTTTCTGATAAAATTCTTGAAAACAATTCAATTATATTTATAAATTATAAAATTCTTAGCAAAAATTCAATTATTCTTGTAAATAATAAAATTCTTCTGAGAAATTCAATTATTTTCAATACAATTTTAATTTTTAATAAAATTTCTTGGAAAAAATTCAATTATATTCAAGATAATTTTAATTAAATTTCTCTAAAAGGTTCAATTATTTTTAAAAATTGTAATAAAATTTTTCCAAACAATTCAATTGTTCTCAAAAGTTATTAATAAAATTTTTTGTAAATTTATTTGCAAAAATTTAAAAAAATAAGTGATTTTTTGAGAAGAATTTTATTAAAATTGTGTTTAAAAGAATTAAATTCCTGTGAAAAATTTACTATTTATTGATATTATTGAATTCTTTCGAAGATTTTAAACAAAAATGTTTAAAAATAATTTAAATTTCCCTAGAATTCAATTAAAATTGTATTTAAAATAATTGAATGCCAGCGAAAATTTTATTTTTTATAATAATAATTGAATTCTTGAATTGAATTTCATTGAAAGTTTTTTAAATAATTGAACTCCTGTGACAAATTTAATTATTTTTTAAAATAATTGAATTTTTTCGGCGAATTCTTACAAGATTTTTTAATAATAATTGAAATTTTCGAAGAAATCAATTAAAATTGTATTGAAGATAAGTGAAATTCTGATAAGAATTTGATTATTTATATAAAAATAATTGAATTTTTAACGAAGATTAATGAATTTTATTACAATTATTGAAAATAATTGAATTCTTCATAAAATTAAATTATTTTCAAATTTTTTGATAAATACTTTACAAGAATTCAATGATTTTCAATACATTAATTTAAAAATTTTAAACATTCAAAAAGTTAGGAAACAAAAAAGCAAACAGCAATGCTTTTAACTTGCGCACAAATAACCGGAATACAACGATATTAATATAGAAGAAGATACATATATGCATAATAATAAAGTTATTTCGTTAGGAAATCTTTAATCTAGAAAAAAATTAAAAATAAATTAATAATCGTATTTGATTAATGATTAATTAAATTAAGAAATTAATGATATTATTGTCTAATTTAGTAAATTGTTTTTCAAACTTACTGAATTTAAAATAACTTGAATTCTTTCTTATCTTCTTAAGGAGGATAACATGACGAATGGAAATACGGAAAATTCTACTGAACCTCTGAGAGAAGACGATGGCGATGGTCCGATTGGAAAACGAAAGCCTCCATGGGTAAGTAACATATTTTATTCTATAATTATTATAAATATTTGAGTTTAAAAATTAATATTTGTCTTCTAATTGCCATTTATGATGTTAGATATTTTATTTTTATGTTATTATTCCATTTTTGTAGGTTGACGAGTTAAAGCAAAATCAATTGGAAAGAAAGAAGCACGGAATTGATCGAGTGGACAAAAGCGAAGTAAAGAAGGAAAGAGTAGTTACAAGGTGAATTATTGATTATTTCTAATTAATAGTTAATCATTTCTAATTAATATTTAATCATTTTTAATTAATATTTAATCATTTCTAATTAAAATTTAATCATTACTAATTATAACAATTTAGTTATTTCCATTATTAAAATATTAAATTATTAATTTAAAAAGGTTGAAATATTTCAATCGTTCAAAAGGTATTTAAATGTAATATTCAGATTTATCAAATAATGAATCAAACTTTGTTTCCTGCATTGAACTTTTTCTTTTTGTTTAAATGAAAAATCAGTTTTCAACGATTACGAACTACGACAAATGTGGCGGAAGTTGGCATAAAGCCGGAGCCAGGAACTGAAGAGAAATCGAAAGAAATTGAAAAGGCAACTCCAACAGACGCATCGAATCACGTTTCACCCAATACAGCACAACCTGCTTTTGTACCTTATCATGTATTTAGTCAACTTCTAGACAGGGTGAGTTATATTTCAGTAAATTTATTTAATGAATGATTATTTTTGCAGAGATATTTTTTTTTGTATATAAAATATACAAAGCTTTGATTTCTAAAGAAAAAATATAAAGAAACATATTTTTATTTGTAAATAAAAAATAAAATGAGACATTTTGTTTCACAAATAAAAAATTCAAAGAGATGTATTATTTTCTAATTAAAAAAATATTTGTCTGTCAAAAGGTCGTTGCATTGGAGAGAACTGTGAATCAACTTTTAATGGCAAACAGTTCAAAAAATGATGAATAATTTTCAAAAAGGACTGCTGCTCTCCGCTTCTATTCCCTCCTTTTCATCTCAAAAGACAAAATTGTTTGTCACTGTAAGTAAATTAATTGATTGTTACAAACATATACATATATTTATTTAATATCGCAAGCAAATCGGGCTGAAATTTTTATTCAATTGCATTTATAAAACGAAGACTTATTTAAAACGCAACATTCCAAGTGACATTCTATTACTTCAAAACATTTTTTTTAATTTATATATTCTACAATATAATTAACGATTCTTTTGCCTGATAGGGAAAAATCGAATATTTTTAAAAAATTAACATTAATTGAAATAAAAAAGAAACCGAATAGGTTAAAATTTTACATGAAAAAAAAAGAAATCGGTTAGTGATTTGTAAGTACTTTAGCAATTAAAAAAAAAATAGTTATTGACTGTAAGAAACAATTTTAAAAAATTAGTCTTGTTGTGCCAACACGTTCCGAGTTTTCAGTTTTTTTTATATCTAGACAAATCACGAATATTTAATTTTTAAACAAATTTAAGTTAATATTTTTTTACTTAAGTTAATGGTATATAAATACTAAACTTAAATTTCATCTTAATTGAATTTATTACAGTAATTAATAATTAATTTCTTTTTTTAATTTTAAAAGAACGAATTTTTAATTATTTTAATGAACCTTATTAACTTCTAGTCGTATTGTGAATTTTGATTTAATGAGAATTACAAAATTATTTTTGGGAGAAAATTTATGTTTTTGAAAAAGAAACTATGATTTGCTTTAATCGAATGAAAGATAATGGATTTTATTTTATCCGGTGATTAGAGTAAGAAATTGTGATTTCGTAGATCTGAGCGAAGAGTGATGATGTACAGAGAGAGAAAGAGAGAGAGAGGAAGGAAATAAAAATTTCCAATGTTAATTCTCAGATCAATGTAGAAAAAATGAAAATAAAATGACGAAAAGAGATTGATTTCAAGCAGAATAATCTTTTAGAATAAAAATTTATATCGATTATTAAATAATAATATTCTTTTCAATTTAATAATTTTGATCTGTAAATATATTAACTACCGAGCCATTATTTTAAATCATGAAAAAAATAGACCTGCTTTCTTGTGGTTTTACATGGTGCTGTCACAAAATATTATAGCTGTTAATTAATAATAATAACAACAATTATTATTAATAATAATAAAAATAAATAATAAATGCATAATGAATAAAAAAAACATAATCGCAAAGAATACATAATCAATGAAAAGCATCAATGTGCACAAAAAAATAGCTTTGCAGATATTTTGCAATATTCGACCAATACTTTTCTCAATAGACCAATTTTTCTGTATTTTTCCTCCGAAATCAATCATTTTGTACTTTTATATCATATTTTTAATTAAATCAGATATATATATATGTATATAATAATTATTTATGGAAAAACTAAAAATGAATTTAAAGAAAAGAAATTCTCTTAAGATAATAATTCATTTTAATGACAGTAATAACGAGAATTTATCTAGAGTTCGTTTCGTTATGTGAATTAACTCTTGATTTAAATAGAATTGAAAATTAATTCACGAATTCTCATGACTAATTAGATTTTTTAATTTCTTATACTGGAATAAAATAATTATCAAATTTGATTTTTATCATTTATTTTAATTTGATTTTTCAAATTTGAAATTTTTAATTTTCTTTTCCAAAAAGAATTATTATTTTTGTTCAATTATTATTTTAATTTTGATTTTTGAATTTAAAGATTTCTATTCTATTCGAGATTTATTACTATACTAGCAAATGTTACGCGTACAAAATTTTTTATATCTAAATAATTTCAGATTATAAATTTTAAAATTTGCTTATTAAGTACATAATTAATTATTATTGTTTATTATTTTCAAAAATTTTAATAAAATTCTTCGCAAGAATTCAATTATTTTCATAAATAATAACATTCTTCGGAAGAATTCAATTATTTGCTAAAATTTTAACAAATTCTTCGAAACAATTCAATTATTTTGATAAATAATCAAATTTTTCAAAAGAATTTTATTATTTTACAAAATCTAGTAAAGTTCCTTGAACGAATTGAATTATTTTGTTTTTTAAATTGTAATAAAATTCTGAGAAGAATTTAATAATTTTCTAAAAATTTTAATAAAATTCTATAATTAAATGTTTAATTTCAATTATGAACAAACACGATTATTTTAAAAACTGGAAATAAATTCATCATAAAGTCCAATTACTTTCAAAATTTTCAATTAAAATTATTAAAAAAAACTCCATTATTTAAAAAAAAATTATGGACATTCAAATTAGTGAGTTAATATAAAATTAAAGAATAATTTGCTTTTTGTTACATTAAAGCTTCTCATTCAGGGAACAATGGCAACTTTTCTTAAAATAAAATTATGAATTATTGAAAAAGAAAAATACTAATTCGATTTTTGTGCGAATGTATAAAAAGTCGATTTTTTAATTAAAAAAATAGTATATTTACTGCTTGCTTCCGATAATCGCTGTGTAATGGATATTATACTGGGAAATTCGGTCCCTTGCGTTTTCGTGATATTCCATTAATACAAGTCTTATTAATGAAAAAAAAGAAATAATAATGTTGGGTGCAGCTTACAAACCTACGTTACTATTATATGTAATATTATATTATAGTATAATATTATGATTAAATGTCTGAATTACTGTTTGTGAATATTCAGACATAATTATTTAATTTGAAAAAGAAAGGTTCTAAAATTTATTAAGAGCCTTAATACTAAAAAACGACCTTAAAGATGAAGATTTATAATTAAGTAAGAAAAAAATAAAAAAAAAAAGAATTGAAAACTATGTATATAGCAGAATGGATTTTATATTTTCTCTCGTTTCTCTCATCGAGTCAAATGTTAATCGGCGAAATGTGCCAAGACTTAACTCGTGTGTGCATTTGTATATATTTTATCTAAATATAAAATTTTTTTTTCTCTAATCTAGATGATTTATTGTTTCAATAGAAAGTACCTATTAATTTTGCTTCCTCGTATGAAGAAGCTTGTCATTTTTTTCAGATTTTTTCCATTCTTCATGTGCGATTATTGGTACTTTTATTTTTTGACTTTTTATATGTATTTTGCTGGCGGTATTTCGCAGATGAATGGACATTCAACATTGCAAGGTAAAACTTTCCAGAATGGTGAGTCTTTTAAATTTGGACGAGTTAATGCAACACAGCCCCGCGAATGTGACGGTTCTCTTTCACCCCATGCTCGATAATCGAAACATTCCAATGGCTCGTCTTTGGTAAGCAAAAATAAATATTAATTTTTATTTTTTGGTTAATTTAGTATTAATAATTAATAATAATAATAACTAAAAATACGAATATTATATTATTATTAATATTTATTAATGTTTATTAATTATTAAGTAAATTTATGATTTATTTATTTACCTATATTATAATATAATTATTATATTAATTAATTATAATAATTAGTAATTAATTAAATTTTCATACCGAATTCATTTTTCCAAGTTCTTTTTCTGTCTTGACTGCTTAATCCAACGAATGTTGGGACATTGCCAATAATTTTCGTCAAACCTTCGGTGCGTTCTTCACTGATAACATGTGCCAGGGTTGAATTTAAATTTCCGCATGTGAGTCGTGCGGCAGCAAAATTGAAGGGCTCCTCAAAAAATAAAAATAATCCAACTTTAGGAACGCAGGATAAACTTCCATTGGTTGCTAAAAGAGAAAAAAGAAATTATTACTTAAAACTAAATTGCAAAAGGTAAAATTTCTTTTTATTGAATATTTTCTATATTTTTTATTTTTTAATTTAAAGAAATTATTTTTCATTTCAGAAATTCGATTTTCTTCTAATTTAAATAAAAAATTCGAAATTCTTACACTTACAATTGTCATTGGCCCAAATCCAATAAGGATATGAACTATAATATTTTACACCTGTTGCATTTTGAAGAGCTGTGAAATTATGAACTTCAGGACAATCCAGAGCTACACAATTTCCATTGTAGTTGCTTCTGAAATCTAAAAATTGGTATTTAAACATTTTTTTTTTAATTAAATTAAAAATTTTTTTACTTCGTTCTCTTTTTTAAAATCAAAGAATGCGAACTCACTATTTTTTGATTCCTCGCTACCAAAATTGAACGCAAGAGCTTTTTTCGATTCCGCGAATTCTTTGCATTTCTCAACATTCAACACTTCTTTTCTTGCAATAACTGATTTTAAAGACTTCGCATTTGATTTTACTAAAACATATCCTGGCGATTCTCGTAAACCGATTTCGCAACATTTGTCGCAAAATATAAACGCACAATTTATGATGAAAATGAAATAATGGAAGAAAATTGACATTATTAGATAATTTGGAAATAATTCTTATTTTTTTATTTGAAATAAGTCTTCTTTTTTAGTTTAAAATAATTCTTACTGTTCAATTTGAAATAATTCCTACTCTTTGATTTGAAATAATTCTTACTCTTCGGGAAAAGACTCAAAAGGCGATCATTATCCAGTGATCATAGAAATAAATTGTTGATCGTATAATTTTATAATAACCGGATTTTAACGTCGGAAGTTGATGAGTTACGTAAACAAAATAGAACCGATTTTTCACGATGAAAACAAGAAGAGAAAAAAAAATCAAAAACCAATTGATTTTTGCAAATATTTATTTTAATAGTAAATACATTTCTTAGGCTTCTCTTTCGTATTTTTCATCAAAAATATATTTCTGTTTTTGTTTCAAAATTTTTCTTTTGATTCAAGTGCAATTTTCTCACTAAAATGTTTAAAGAAAAGAGAAATTGCAATCGACTATATAGAAATACAATATTAGCTAGAAATTGGTCAAGCTAGAAAAAAGTTGTATTCTCAAATAATACTTAGGCCTTGTGCGAAATATTTGTGACTATTAATTAATCATTAATACTGAAATTTTTCAGTTAAAATACTGTGTAACATTTTTAAAATACTTGATAAAACTCTTAGAATTTGAAAAGTAAATAAAACAGGAACAGTTTACCGGCAACTGTTCTAATATCATTTTTTAATCTTCAATTGTGAAAGCGTAAAATTATTCTTTGAATTTAAAACAAAAAAATTATGCTGCTAAAATTTGATCTAGTGCGTTTGTTACTTGAGCGAAAATTTCATCCACTGCGCCTTCGGCATTTATCTAGAAATTGAATATAAGGAATTATTTTCGAAACCAAGAATTATTATCCTACTTGCTACAATAATTTTAATTTTTAATTAAAATTTAAGAACCAAGAATTATTGTACTTGTTAAAATAATTTTAATTAAAAAATTAAAATTTAGGAACCAATAATTATTATTCTTGTTACATTAATTAATATTGACAGAAAAAAACTTACGTGACAAACTTTGGGTTTAAAGTGATTGACAATTTCGCCATTTTTTTCATTGAAAATTTCAATTCTCTTTTTTATAGTTTCTGCGTTATCGTCGGCTCTTTGTGTAGCGGCAGCTGCAGCACGTCCCATTAATCGCTTCTGAAGAGTCTCATTAGCGACGTCAAAGAAAAAAATAAGGTCAACTGGACACACCTGAGAAGTAATAAACATTTACTTTTTTTTTATTTCAAATATATATTTAAAATATAAAATATACCTTGATTTTACAAATTAATAATAGTTAACTTTACAAATTACTAATATTTAACTTTATATTTATAAAAAAATTTGAAAATAATTGAATTCATCTCAAGAATTTTATCAACACTTTTTCAATAATTGAATTCTTTCGAGAAAATGTAATTAAAATTATTGTATTCAAAATAATTTAATTCTTGGCAAGATTTTTATTAAAATTCTTTAGAATAATTGAATTGTTTTGAAGAATTTATTTCAATTAACTTAAAAATAATGGAGTTTTTTAAAATAATTTTTACTGAAAATTATGGAAATAATTGAAATCAATTTTAATTGAATTCTAGGCAAAATTAAATTATTTTTAAGATTTTTTTTTAAAGAATTTTAATAAAATTTTAATAAAATTCTATTCAAGAATTCAATTACTTTTTGAAATAATTAAATTCTTGATTTACAAAGAATTTTAATTAAAAATTTTGGGAACAATTGAATTGTTTAAAAAAATTTTATTACAATTTTTAAAAATAATTGAACCTGTTTGAGAAATTTTATTAAAATTATCCTGAATATAATTGAATTTTTCCTAAAAATTTTATTAAAAATTTATTGAAAATAATTGAAATTCTCAGAAGAATTTTATTATTTACAAGAATAATTGAATTTTTCCTAGGAATTTTACAATTTATAAAACTAATTGAATTGTTTCCAAGAATTTTGTCAGAATTGTCGAAAATAATTGAATTTTTTTTAAAACTCTTGAAAATAATTGAATTTAAATAATATTTTTAAAAACAATTCTATTTTGTCGAGAAATTTTATTAAAATTGTATTGAAAATAATTAAATTTCTCCGAAACATTTTATTATTTATGAAAATAATTGAATTTCTTTGAAGAATTTTATTACTTATAGAAATATTTTAATTCTTGCGAAGAATTTTCTTATTCATGAAAATAATTAAATTCTTGCGGAGGATTTTACAATTCATAAAAATAATTGAATTGTTTCGAAGAATTTTATCTGAATTTTTAAAAATAATTGTATTCTGTTGAGAAATTTTATTAAAATTGTTTTGAAAATAATTGAATTTTTTAAAGGAATTTTATTAAAAATTTTGAAAATAATGATTTTTTTAAAAGAATTTCATCAAAATTGTCGAAAATAATAGAACTTACAGTAGAATTCTTGAAAATAATTGAATAAAATAATATTTTTAAAAATAATTGTATTTTTTCGAGAAATTTTATTAAAATTGTAGTGAAAATAATTGAATTGCTCTAAAAAATGTTATTATTCATGAGAATAATGAAATTGTTAAGATAAATTTTATTAAAACTTTTGAATAATAAACAAGAATATTTAATATTATGTACTTAATAAGTGAATTCTTTAAATTTAAAATTTGTAATCATTCAAAAATTGATGTTTATTCTTGAAAATGTAAAATTTTTTAATTTACAAAATAATAAGAAATGGAACACTGCGTTCCGCGCGTATCATTTACTAGTTACTAATATTTATGGAACTTACGTCTTTTTCAAATTGAATGCCCTGATCCTTTTCACGAGGATAACCATCAATTAGAAAACCGGACGCTGATGGATTTTCTTCCTTCGCCTTGGTCATTCGATCTTTTATCAATTGCAATACAATTTCCTGCAATTATGATGATGAATAATTTGATTTATTGCTCTATTAATAGGTATTTGAATTATTTGCGGATTAGATTAAAATTTTTATTTTCTGTAGTGACTATTACTTTTTTTTCTTCGTACTTACAGTGGGAACGAAGAGGCCCTTAGACATGAGATCCTGTAATTCGGCACCACGGGGACTTCCACTGGCAACTTCCTCTCGCAAAAGATCGCCACTGCTGAGATGAATAAATCCATATTTTTCAATCATTTTATCACATTGCGTTCCCTTTCCACAACCCGGACCACCGATCACCCACACTGTTTTCATATTGATTATTGGATTTCTTTCGATACCGTCACTTAAAAAGGTATTTGGCTCCCACCAAGTTTTTGATTTGCAATTATTCTGAAAACAAAGTAAAATCAATTAATTCCCTTAATGGGCAAATGGAAATCTATTATTTATTTTAATATTTTCTAATTATTAATAAATATAACTAAAAAATCGTAATTTAATTTAAATATTTATTTATTATTTAATTTTTTCAATGATAGTTAAAATTTTTTAATAATTAATAAATATTAAAATAAAATATTTTATTATTTTTTTTTGTTTAAAAATTACAGAATAGCAAAAAAATTTGAAATATAGAAAAAAATTACAGAATTGCAAGAAATTTTAAATTAATAGAAAATGATAAAGAATCGAAATTTAAAAATAGTTAATAGTAGGAAAAATAAATTATATTTTATTACTAATCGTTAAAATATTCCGAACAAGGGAATTAAGACAAAAAGAAGTTTTTTCGAATTTGAAAAATTACAAAATTTAAAAAAGAGGGGAACGTTATTATTTTTGTAAATTTATAACATATAACACAACATATTTTCACACGTCCTTGTCATAGGCCAGTCGTCATCAATTATTCTACTCGTCTTTTAATAGCTTAAAAATATGCATCTGTTATGCTTTATTTTCAGCTCACGTAACTTTTATCTAGGCTCTATTGCTCACTAATTATATGAACACAATAAGATTTTTCCAATTTTGAAAAAACAATTTTGAGAAAAACAAGAAAAAGAATTTCGCAATATTTATCGCGAAATATAAACACAATTTTTCGCAGTAAAAATGCAATAATAACAGAAAATTGTAAATTTATTAGAAAATTTTGAAATAATTCTTACTTTTTGATTTGAATCAATTTTTACTCTTTATTTAATTAATTCTTACCGTTTTGTTTAATTAATTCTTACTCTTTGTTTAAATAATTCTTACTCTTTGTTTAATTAATTTTTACTCTTCGTTTAAATGGTAAAGAGAAATATATTTAAAAATAATGAAAAATTTGTTTGTTAAAACTTACCAAAAGAAGTTGTTACAGAAAAGTTTAATCGATCCTGTGCAAAATGCAACTGCACTTGTAGAAATGCACTATTTTAATAACTCAAAAACTGTTATTAAAGATGTTATTAATTATTTTAGAAATATTTGTTTTAAACAATATAAAAGCAGTTTCGTTTCTCTGTGATTCGAATGAATCGATTCAATATTTTGATACTAGTTTGCGGTGAAAATTAAACGATTGATGAAACTGCGCAATCGCGTCTTATAGTTCAGGGTTAAATTGCCATTAAATTGCGGAAACAAAATCTGGAGCAGATTAATTTTTTCTGAAAAAAACCATTTTAGAATGTTATATAGTACTGCAAAATTAGAAACAAGAATTTTTAAGTTTGAAACAAGAAAACATTAATTTCACTCATTAAAATGAATTACTTTTAATTCATAACATTCTAACTACTTTAAATAATGACACTCAATTTCATGTATTATTTAAAAAGGAAATTAATTATTATTAATTATATCATATGGTTTACCATATTTACAAAAGTCAAAAAATGTCAATTTATTGAGGTTAAGTTAGCCAAATTGTCAATTGTTATTTTTTATTTTACATTTGTTTTATATTTAAATTTATAACTGTTCACAACACAGTTTGACATTAATTTGATTAGTTCAGATTAGTTATTGTCACTCAAGAAAAACAACTATTTTCGTTTGTTATTCATCATAGTTTTTAGTGTCATAAAAACTAATCGAATTTGTTTCTTATTAATGAATAAAATATTAATTTATTGTTTAATAGAAAATTGTGAAAATTGTTTTGCAAAACATTAGCGTTATTTTTTTTATTTATAGTTTCAGCTTACCTTTGATTTTCTATTCTCGTCGCTCACTGTTGTTGTCAATGAATTCGTTTCCCAAAAGATCTTACATAAAACCAAAAGAACAGGTAGTTTCAGTTGTATAATATTATTGCACTTGTGTTTGCGCCTGATCATGCGCGCTCATAAATTATAGCGCCAATTTTCGCAGAAAAACACGGAAGTTACAAATGAGTTCAAGAGTGCAATTTAATTTGAAATTTATTTCCCGATTTTCCTTGTTCCACCAGGTGTACCAAAAATAAAACGCTCCTTACGTCTTACGTATTTACGTAACCCTACGTTACATTACGTTGAGAAACACTTTGATTTTGGCGCATTTTCATGTGGACAACAATAGACTATTGTTATTATTGGTGGAAATTTTTGTGAGAGGGAATTTTGAAATGGAGAAAATTATTGTTAAACAAAATGTGGTTTTAAATCTTTACTATTTTATTAATTTACTATTTACACAAACTATTTTTATAAATCAGATACTTTTTTCTTTCTAATTTATTTTACATTTATTATTTTAGAAAACTCGTCTCATTATCAGAAATTTTTGTTATTATTTATCTTTTTGTTATTTTCTTGGTTCTATTTGTAACAAAAATATTACTTAAATATTTTATTTTTACACTTAAAGAAAAAAAATAGAAATATGTAAATAAATTACCCAGCACTTTTTTTTATAAATTTCTTGTTTTTGTCCATGCACTTTGGTAATATTTCCATAAGTGCTGCAATTGCATTGGAAAATTTCCAGTTGGCGCCTGTCAATTAAGTTTTTATTCGACCACCATCGTGCCGCGCGTATCGTCCTTCTACTGATAAAATAAACGAGTTTTGTACGTTTTCTCATTTAAGAAAGTTATTTATGATTCTAAACAATGGCAAATAGTAATCACAGTGATTCACAAGCGAGTGAGGTATGTAAATAAATTCATTTTTCCTCCAATCTAACCGTCCCTTGGAGAAATTGCAAAATTTCATTTCCCAAGCTAACCTCAAAATTTTTGTAAACTCATTATAATACGCACTACTTTCATTCAATTGTTTCTTTCTTGTTTATGAACGAGTAAACATTTGGATTATAAGTTGAATCTGTTATACATTATTTTAATTCGACAACAATGCTAAATATACGTATTTTTTCTCTGGTAATTCGATAACTTTGTCAATGCACATGTTATCTAATTTTTTTTTTAGGAAGAGGAAGGCGAAATAAGAGAACCGAAAATAAAAAAATCCAAAGTTAAAAAATCTAAAGAGTCAAAAAAAGTTTCAGAGAGTGAAGAAGAAGGTAATTTTATTTCGAACTAATGAAAATTATAAATATATTACATAATTTTTGTGTGCATGTTTAAATTCACAAAGAGGCGCTTTGTAATATTTCTCTAAAGTACAAAGTGAACAAAGTGAAACATGCTACAGTATATGTGATTTTACATTTTTAAAGAAAAAACTTAAATTTATTTATCTCAATTGTGCTAATTTGATTGATTTAAAAATACGATTTAGATCTCGTACTTCGATTAGGAGAAGAAAGCAATGAATCAGTTGATCTTAAAAAGCGAAAGAGAAGTGTTGACGAACCTTCTCCAAACAATAGTGAGAAAGAATCTCCGCCAGTTATAAAAGTAGAAAAAGATGATCTATTGACAGAAATAAAACAGGAACCAGAATGTGATCTCATGCAAGCAGTCGAAGCGGACTTACAATTAAAAATGGCGAATGTGAGAATACTTTTATTTTGTATTCACATAAATATGATCAGAGAAAATCACTTGAATAAGAAGTACCAAATCTACTCTTGCAAATTGACAAAAAGCTTAATTTCATGAAGAATTCAATATTTCGATGATATAAATTTTCTAAATTTTATTTTTAAATTTTTGTTAAATTCAATTTTTGATATAAATTTTCTAATTTTATTTTTAAATTTTGTTAGAACCAATATTTGATGATATAAATTTTCTAAATTTTATTTTTAAATTTTTATTAAAACCAATTTTTGTTGATACAAATTTTTTAAATTTTTGTTAAATACAATTTTTGATGATATAAATTTTCTAAATTTTATTTTTAAATTTTTGTTAAATTCAATTTTTAATATAAATTTTCTAATTTTATTTTTAAATTTTGTTAGAACCAATATTTGATAATATAAATTTTCTAAATTTTATTTTTAAATTTTTATTAAAACCAATTTTTGTTGATACAAATTTTTTAAATTTTTGTTAAATACAATTTTTGATGATATAAATTTTCTAAATTTTATTTTTAAATTTTTGTTAAATCCAATTTTTTATGATATAAATTTTCTAAATTTTATTTTTAAATTTTTGTTAGAACCAATTTTTGATGATATAAATTTTCTAACTTTTATTTAAAATTTTTTAAAATTAAAATTAATTTATTACGATTCGATAACTACGGACGTAATTTAAGTTTTCGAAAGTGAGTGAGTAGATTTCTTTCTTATTAGAGTATTTTCCTCTGAATTTATCAATTTTCTATTTCAATTTTCCTGTAATGGCTTAATTTATAGCTTTTGTTTTAAATTAAATTAATATTTTTTTTAGAAACGTGTAAAATATGAATTTGCACCTGCAGGACAGTTTGAACCGATAATTATTCCTCCTATTGAAATTGTGAGTATTTTATAAAAAAAATTATTGATATAAAAAAACTACTCGAATATGAATCGATAAATACTCGAAAACTACTGAATTATGTGTATTAATATCTTTTAATTGCAATCCTTTAATTTTATTTACTAATTTCATTTATTAATTTTAATTTCATTACTTTGATCAAATTAATTGATTTGTTTGTTTTATTATTATTAATTTTTTGATTAATTAATTTGATTTATTTACTTGTAAATTTAATTAATTGCAATACATTTGCATGTTATTCATGTTCAGTGAAATACTTTTTCACAGAAGAAAAGAATACTCAAATAATTACAATATAAAAATTTAATTTTGATTCAATGTGTAATTATTTTATTTTCTTAAAAGAAAATCGAAATATCAGACGACGATGATTACCAAGTGGTAGCGGAAGTGCCAAAAGAGGATTCACCTGTTAATAATCCTCCACCAGAAGAGGAGGAGGAAGAAGAAGAAGAAGAAGAGGAAGAACCAAAAAGACCGACAGTGCATCAGGAAAAACATGTGAAGAAAAATGTATTTTCCACCGAGTAAGTAATTTTATTCGAATGTTGAAAATTGCAGAAATTTTTATACTCATTTTTTATTTATACAGGAAATTAAATAGATTTTTTTTCTTTCAGAGCCCTAACGAAAGTTGAAGACATATTTGGTGTTAATTTTGATAATGAAATTTTCGGAAAATACGGCAAGGAGGAATATGACGATGAAGAGAGTGAAATTCAATCAGGAAATTGTAAAAATGGAGAAAAATCGAAAAGCACAAAGAAACAGACAAAGAAAAAGTCAACGAAAAAAGTTGTTTACGATATTTACGAGCCGAGTCAACTGAGACGTGTCTATTCCCTAAATCTCGATAAAGAGGTATTTCAGGAAAGAATTTTTTCTACTAGAAACGATAGAATTAAAAAAAATGTTATTAGTATTTTACGCTTTACTTTTATTAATTACTTACTAATTTCTGAACTAATTAATATTAATATTACTCTTTTATGAAATTTTATTTATTTATGTTTGTTGTTGGATTTATTTATTTACTTATATATTTTTAACTGTTATCGAATTTACTTTTTACTTCATTTAGTTATAATTTAAAACAAAAATTTTGTTCAAGATTTGTGCCACTGATATTCCGGAGAGAATGCAACTTCGCTTGACACCAGTAACACCAACGAATGTCGATTCAAGTGAATTGGATCTCGAATCAAAATGGATATACGAACAAGCTTTTTACAAAGAAACGGTATCAATACAAAACAGCCAATCAGAAGAAGAGGAGGAGAGATTAAAGATCAAAATACACAATAGGCATCAAACAATTGTAAAAATACGAAATGTCCTGCATTTCATGCGCAATCAACAATTTGAAGTTCCCTTCATTGCAACGTATAGAAAAGAATTTATCTATCCCGAATTGGATGTCAACGATTTATGGAAAGTCTATAAATTCGATGCAAAATGGTGTCAATTGCAACAGCGAAAGAAACATTTATTAAAACTTTATGAAAATATGCTACAATACCAATTGAGTGAAGTGACAAAATTAAAAGGTACATCACCGCCGGACAGTATGAAAATAGTGAAAATTGCCGACATTGAAAAATTAAAAACAATCGATGACAGTGAAGAAATTCACGATATGTATCGTTATTTCAAATTACATTACAGTCACGAAATACCAGCAATGAAACGATTTATTCGTCAAAAAGAATACGAATCATTGAAAGCGAAATTACAGAAGAAAGGAGAAAAATGCGAAGATATTAATTTACCGGAAATTACCGATGAACCGGAAATCGAACGTAACGATCCGTATTTTATTTGTAAAAAAGCAGGACTCGATGCATTTGTAAAAAAATTTGGTATCAGTTCTGAGCATTTCGCTGAGAATTTACGTGACAGTTATCAACGTTATGAAGTTGATCAAGAACTTTATGATCCAATAACAACAGCAAGTCGATTTTGTGGAAGAAAAATTTCAGCACCAGAGAAACTTCTTAAATCGGCGCAATTTATGTTTGCATTACAATTGGCATGCGAGCCACTTGTACGTAAAACATTGAGAAATCTCTATATGAAGAAAGCAAAATTATCTGTACGTGCCACTAAAAAGGGTATGCGTGAAATCGATGAGAATCATTCAATTTATACGATGAAATATTTAAAGAATAAACCAGTGAAAGATTTAATTGGTGATCAATTTTTAAAATTGGTTGTTGCCGAGCAAGATGACTTGATAACAATAACTTTTAGCGACACTATTGAGGGTATCGCGGCCAATAACTTCATGGACGAGATCAAACAATATCTTATGAATCAGGATAACAATCAAACTGTTCAATCGTGGAATGCCCTGAGAGTCGCCAGTATGGAAATGGCCCTAATGACAATGGTAAAAAGAACTTTTAATCCTTATTACTCGAGAAAATGTTTTCTTTTCTATTATTTAAGATGAGAGGTTCGCTTATATTTTTAACTATAAATCGAGAAAATTATTTAAATATTCTATAAAACTGTTTATAATGTTTGTAACTGTTTGTAATTTTTCAAGAGGAATTCAATGGTCGAAAAGTAACGACGATCGGAAAATATTTTGGCACTTTTAAAATTTTTATTTTTCTTAAAAATTGATAGTTTTTAAAATCGATCCGTAATTTTGTAGACAATTTTTTTGTATATTCACAAAAACTTTGACGAATGAAAAATTGATTTCTATTATTTTTGGAGAATTGTTTTCTGAAAAATATTATTTTTAGGTTGAAAATGTTTTAAAAAATATCATTGTTATTCAATTTTTATTTGGAAATTTATTTGATTATTTTCATAACTAATTTCAAATCATATTTTTATCATATTTTTTTTATATTTCTTATTTTGAAAAATTATGATTTGAAATCAGTTATAAAAATAAGCAAATGACTTTACAAATTAAAAAATTGAATAACAATGGTATTTTTTAGTATTTTTAACCCAAAAACGTTTCTTTAGAAAAAAATGCTTCAAAAATAGTAAAAATCAATTTTTTCATTTGGCAATTCTTTTTTCGAATACAAAAAAAAAAAATTTTTCCACAAAATTACGGATCGATTTTACAATCTATTAATTTTTAAGAAAAATTAAAAATTCAGAAAAGGGTAAAAATAATTATATTCAGACGGATTTTATTTTATGTCCATTGAATTCCTCTCGAAAAATTACAATAAATACAATTTTATAGAATATTAATCATTTTTTTGTTCATTTAATTTCCAAATTTTTAATTGGAGATTAAAATTAAAGTTTGGCTTAAAAATTTGTTTTCCATTCTACTATTTAAACATTTTTGATTTTTTTATTTAATCTCCAAATTATTAACTGGAAATTAAAATTTGTCTTAAAAGTGTTTTCATTTATATTAATTAAAGATTTTTTGTTTTTTGATTTAATATCCAAATTATTAATTGGAAATTAAAATTTGTTTTAAAAATATTTTTTTTTTATTGTCTAAAGATTTTTTTGTTTTCTGCTTTAATTTCCAAATTGTGAATTGGAAATTAAAATTAAAATTTGGCTTAAAAATATGTTTTTTTTTCTAATTATTTCAAAATTTTTTCTTATTTAATCTCTAAATTATTATTTGGAAAAATACAATTAAAATTAAGCTTACTTTTTATTTCTTTTTAATGATTTGTTTTTTGATTTAATCTCTCAATTATTATTTGGAAATTACAATTAAAATTTAGCTTAAAGTTTTTTTTTGCCTTTTAAAGATTTGTTGTTTTCTGATTCAAATTTCAAATTAAATTGTAAATTAAATTTAAAATTTAGCTAGAAAATTTTTTTTATTCTATTTCAACATTTTTTGTTTTTAATTGAATTTCCAAATTGTGCATTGGAAGTTAAAATTGAAATTTGGATCAAAAATATGTTTTTCTTTCTATTGTTTCACAATTTTCTGTTTTTCTATAAAATCTCCAAATTGGAAATTAAATTTAAAATTTAACTTAAAAACAATTTTTTAAATTTAAAGATTTGTTGTTTTTTTATTTAATTTCTAAATTACTAATTGTAAATTAAAATTTGGTTTAAAAATATGTTTTCTATTCTATTTAAACATTTTTTTAAATTTCTTTTCAAAATTATTATTTGGAAATTAAAATGAAAATTTGTCTTGGAAATATTTTCTTTTCTATTATTTAAAGTTTTGCAATTTTTTAATTTAGTTTTTAAATTATTGTTTAGTAATTAATATTAAAATTTGTCTTTGAAATTTTGTAAAAGTCTAATTTCAATAATATTTTCAAATTCAGGAGCGTTGATAAGTACAGAAAAATACTTTTCGATTTTATTTCAAAATTTACTTGATTTATAAAGACAAATTTGTTTATTATTACATAATTTTCTTATTATGTTTTTTTTATTCAATTTTTAAGAAAACTTTAATTTAAGTTTATTTAATAAACAGTTTGTTTGATATAAAAATTCCCACGATGTAGATCAGTTTGAATGATGAAAAATTAATTTTACAGGTGATAATTGACTTGAAAAAAGAGCTTCGAGCAAATTTATTGTTTGAAGCAAAGGACTTCGTGATGCGTGAGTGTTGTCAAAAACTTCATAACTGGCTAAAAGTTGCGCCTTACACAAGCAATGTATCTTGCGAAGAAGACGACGATTGGAATTTATCGAAAGGATTACGAGTGATGGGTTTATCGTTTCCACAGGATGAAACACAAATTTCTTATGCATGTATTGTTGGAACAGATGGCGATTGTACGGATTTCTTGAAATTACCACATTTACTGAAACGACGAAACAGCACAAAGGAGAGTGATCGTTTAATGAAGGAAGCGGAACTTTTATCAATTCGTAATTTTCTAATGTCAAAGAAGCCACATGTTGTCGCTATTGCTGGCGAAACACGTGATGCATTAATGATGCAATTTGAAATTCAAGAAATCATTGGGAAATTACGTAACGAAGAACATTTTCCAGCAATAAAAGTTGAAATTTCCGATAATGATTTGTCGAAAATTTATGCCAATGGCAATCGGGCTATAACGGAATTTCGTGATTATTCCTCGCAATTAAGACAGGCGATATCAATTGGACGTCGTTTACAGGATCCGCTTATTGAATTTTCACAATTGTGTAATGCTGACGATGAGATATTGAGCTTAAAATATCATTCGCTTCAAGATCAATTGCCGCAGGATGAATTATTGGAAAATATACACACGGAATTTATAAATGTTGTCAATAAAGTTGGTGTCAATGTAAATATGGTTGCGCAAAAATATTACGCTGAAAATCTACTGCAATTTGTTTGTGGTCTAGGTCCTAGAAAGGCGCAAGCTTTGATTAAAATAATACGCAAACAAGCTGATAAAAAATTAGAGAATCGTGCACAATTAGTGACAATTTGTAATTTAGAACCAAAAGTGTTTGTCAATTGTGCCGGTTTTATAAAAATTGATGCAGACTATTCAGCTGTTAATAAAGGCGCTTATGTGGAAGTTCTCGATGGATCGAGAATTCATCCTGAAAGTTATGAATGGGCTAGAAAAATAGCGGTCGACGCTTTAGAATCGGAAGAGGATCCTAATCGAGCGATTATTGAAATTTTAAAAGCACCGGAAAAATTGAAAGATCTCGATCTTGATTCGTTTGTTGATTTACTGCAAAGACAAGGGTATGGCGATAAGAAAATTACAATGTATGATATTTGCGCGGAATTAAGTTGTATGTATCGTGATTTGAGAGAACCTCACGTATCGCCAAATGCTGAGCAATTATTTTTTATGCTGACGAAACAAACGCCTGAGACATTGCACGTGGGGAAATTATTGGTTGCTAAAGTATTGGGTATTAGTCACAAGAAACCACAGGGCGAACAATTGGAGAGTATGCGACCTGTGAGAAATGATGAAAGTGGATTTTGGCAGTGTCCGTTTTGTTTTAAGAATGATTTTCTCGAATTGTCGGAGGTGTGGACGCATTTTGAGTCAACTTGTCCGGGGAGGGCGACAGGTGTAAAAATACGATTGGATAATGGACTTAATGGTTATATTCATATTAAGAATCTGTCGGATAAGCCAGTGACGAATCCAAGGGATCGTGTTTGTGTGAATCAGCCGATTCATTGTCGTATTATGAGAATTGACATGGAGAAATTCGGAATTGAGTGTACTAGTAGAAGTAAAGATCTGGCTGATAAGGATAACGAATGGAAGGCGCCGAAGGATCCGTTCTACGATATGGAAGGTGAGGATAAGGAAAAGAAGCTTGAAGAGGAAGTGCGGAAGTCAAAATTAAGACAGGCTTATATTAAACGAATTATCGGTCATCCGTGCTTTAAGAATATCGACTTTGCCGACGCGGAACGATTGATGAGTGACAAAAGACCCGGCGAAGTTATAATACGACCTAGCAGTAAGGGTCCTAATCATTTGACAATAACTTGGAAGATGGCGGACGAGGTAATTCAGCACATCGACGTGATTGAAGAAGGCAAAGCTAACGATTTCGTGGCAGGCGCAAAGTTACGCATCGCCACCGAGGAATTTGAAGATCTCGACGATATTTTCGTGAAATACATCAATCCAATGATTGGTTTCGTGAACGAAATTTTGAATTTCAAATACTACAAGGGTAGAGTCGGAGGGAACAAGGACAGAGCTGACGAGGTGCTGAAAGTTCAAAAAAGGGAGAATCCCAACGGCATTCCGTACATTATTTCAGCTGCCCGACAATATCCGGGCAATTTTCTCCTCTCCTATCTACCGCGCAATCAATGTAGGCACGAGTACTTTTCCGTGATACCCACGGGTTTGAAATTCCGCACCGAGGTCTTTGTGAGACTCAACGATCTGCTCCGCTGGTTCAAGGAGAACTTTAAGGAACCGGTGCCAAATCAGCCGGTCGCCTCTCGAGGAACACCTCCGCCCAGAATGCCCTATCCACCAACATCCTCTGGTATTCGTAACGATGAATTTCCACCAGAAATGTCGCATCGCTCCTACAGCAGTCAACCACCGATTTATCCGAATAATCAAATGTATCCACCCAATCGTCCCGAGTATCCGATCAATCATCCAGAGTACTCTAAACATCCGGACTATCCTAAACGTCCGGACTATCACAGACCCGAATATCCACCGAATCGAATGGACTATCCACCGAATCGTCCCGAGTATCCACCGACTCGCGCCGATTATCCACCAAATCCAGATTATCACGACTACCCACCAGCAAAATCGAGTTACAGACCTAATTCCGATTATCCACCGAGTAGATCCGATTATCCGATACGCTCTGACTATGGTTCACCACACACGGATTATCCCCCTCCCCACTCGGATTATCCCCCACGTTCGGATTATCCTCCTCCTCCACGTTCCGATTATCCTCCTCCTCCTCGTTCCGATTATCCCCCAAGATCTGATTATTCTTCTCGCTCCGATTATCCCCCACGTGATTATTCGTCACGTTCCGATTATCCCCCACGTGATTATTCGTCACGTTCCGATTATCCCCCAAGATCCGATTATCCTTCTCGTTCCGATTATCCCCCATCATCTCGATCTGAGTATTCACCACCACGTGACTATCCCCCACCTTCGCGTTCCGAATATCCACCAAAACAAGTCTACGAATCAAATGAAATTTCCTATAAAGAAAAAAGCAGCAAAAGCACCGACTACAATGGTAAGAGAAATCAAGAAAGAAATTCAGAATCACCAACTGAAAAGACGTCTTTGTCGAAAATTTCACCACCACCGCCATTACCACCACCACCACCGCCACAGTCTGTTATTCCTACACCTACAGTTATTCCTGTTGTTAATTCTGTCAGTTCTCCTACATTGTCAACAGGAATTCCGCAACCAGTTCCTCCACCTGCAGTCGATGTTAATGCACAGAAAGAAAAGAATCAGGAGAATATCGTTGAGAAAAAACAATTTAAACCAATTACAACAGCAGTGATACAGCCACCGCCGCCAAAGGTGAATCTCACATGGAATCAACAGATTCAAAATAAAGTCTTTGACGATACTTATTTTACGAAAACGAAGAAAGTTGTTAAACCTTATGATAATGGGGTTGGACATGCGTTATTGCAAAAATTATCGAAAGGAGATAAATATCAGCAAGGTGGAAAAAGGAAAAAGAATGAATCGGGTTCCAGGGATTCGTCAATGTCGAGAGGTAAGAAGTGGAAAATCAATTTTTTTTGCGCTCCTTTTTTTTGGGGTTTTTTGAATAAATTTTTTGAGAATGACTTTCTTGGAAAAAGGTGGTAATCTTGTGCTCGTTGAATTTAGAGAAAATTGGGATTTGGAAAATTTTTAGAATTATTTTTAAATATGTGATGCGCTCTAAGTAGGAAGAAAATTTGAATTTCAAATTCATTATTTATTTATTATTATTAAAGAATATTTGATTAGGTATCATTTTATTTATTTATTGAATATTTTGTCTCTAATGACAATTTAATCATCAATTTAGAAAAATTAATTTTTATTTTTATTTATATTTTCTTTTTATTCTCTTTTAGTTTGTTTATTTTCTTTTTATTCGTTTTATTTTTAATTTTATTTTTGTTTTCTATTTATTCTTTCCATTTTCAATTTATTTTTTATTTTATTTTTGTTCTTTTCATTTTTAATTTGTTTCCTTTTTATTTCTTTATTTTTCCTTTATTTTCTTTTAATTCTCTTTTTCTCTTCACTTTCCTTTTATTTTCTTTGCAATCTTTTTCTCTTCATTTTTAATTTATTTCTTTTTCGTTTCTCTATTTTCCTTTTATTCTCTTCATTTCCAATTTATTTTCTTTATATTTCTTTATTTTCTTTTAATTCTTTTTTTCTCTTAATTTTCCTTTTATTTTTGTTTGCATTCTTTTTTTCTCTTCATTTCTTTCATTTTCATTTTATTCTCTTCATTTATGTTTATTTTCGAATATCAAAAACAGTTTCTGATCCTAAAAATATAATTTTCTACTCTCAAAATCCAAATTGTAAGCCTTTGAAATGATGTTTAATTTTCTTCCGAGCGCGTTACATTATTAATTTAAGTTTCTTATCAAGTTTTTCATTTTTTTACACTGTTCGAAACTTATTTTTTTTCCTAAAAACAACAAAAATGCCTGTAGTAGTTTCTGGTGGATTTATTTTCTTTTTTCCTTTAAAAAAAAAATTGATTCGGAAGAAAACATGGTGACTGTCTACCAAAATAATTAAACAAAAAAAAAACTTGGAAAGACTATCAAATGAAAAACTCTTGTTTGTGAAGTGACGGACGTGCATGGAAAAATTTCGTTGAGTCTGAAAAAAACACGAATAATGGATTTGAGTAGAAAAATTTCTTAAAACACTACATTTTAAAGAAAAAAAAAATTAACAATGATGAAATACTTCGCTGTGGAACTTCAAAAATTATTCATAATCTAGAAGAGATCAGAGCTTTTGAGAGCTAGAAAATTTTTACATTTTCAGGATATTTTTCTCCTATTATCAAAATTTTTGTTTCCGTACAGCAGAGTAATTGTGTTTTTGCTGAAATTTTGGGAATAAAATTTGGACGATTAAAAATTATTACGATTAAATTATTTATTAAATTAAAACGATTAAAAAGAAAATTATTTGGACTTTTTTACGTAAACGAATACACGAATTAATTTGTTTAGATATTTATTGACTTATTAATTGATTAATTAATTTTTAGAATTTCTTTATTAAATTATTCAATAATTTTTGTTAAACAAATATTTAAAAACTTTTATTTTAATTTATTTTAATTCATTAAATTATTTAAATACACAAATTTTTTTGTACATTATTGTAAAAGAAATTTTTATAAAAGGACGGAAATCGTTAAAGGACAACGGAAATTATTTAAAGAAAAAGAAATTTTAATGCTAGAATACAGAATAATTTTAAAAATAAATTTATTTTTCCTTTGATAGAGAAAGTTTAAAATGAAACTAAAAAGGGGTTTTTCACTCAAATTAAGATAATTTTATTGAATTTTAACAAATTTAGAGGTGGTTTTAATAAAATTTCACTTTCTGAATTTTCTAAAAGAAATGACTAATTTTTGTCTTTTGATACAACGTCCATAATTTTCTTTGCTAAAATTTGTAAAATATAAAAACAAATTTTATTTATTCGATAAATTATTGAAAAAATTAACAAATTTCAACAAACAATTTTTGAAATTGTTTCAAAAAGAAAAAGTTATAAATTTCTTTGCTAAAATTTGTAAAATATAAAAACAAATTTTATTTATTCGATAAATTTTTGATAAATTAACAAATTTCAACAAACAATTTTTGAAATTGTTTCAAAAAGAAAAAGTTATAAATTTCTTTGCTAAAATTTGTCAAATATAAAAACAAATTTTATTTTATTTTTTTTTATTTTATTTTTTTTTTTATTTTTTTTTATTTTATTAAATTTCAAAAAACAATTTTGGAGATTGTTTCAAAAATAAAAAGTTATAAATTTCTTTGCTAAAATTTGTAAAATATAAAAACGAATTTTCTTTATTCACTAAATTTTTGAAAAAATTAACAAATTTCAACAAACAATTTTAGAGACTGTTTCAAAAATAAAAAGTTATAAATTTTTTTGCTAAAATTTGTAAAATATAAAAACAAATTTTATTTATTCGATAAATTTTTGATAAAATTAACGAATTTAAACAAACAATTTTTGAAATTGTTTCAAAAAGAAAAAGTTTTAAATTTCTTTGCTTGTGTTTGTAAATTATAAAAAAAAATTGTATTTATTCGCTAAATTTTTGAAAAAATTAACAAATTTCAACAAACAATTTTGGAGATAGTTTCAAAAAGAAAGTGTTATAAATTTCTTTGCTAAACTTTGTAAAATATAAATTTTATTCTCAAAATTTTGGAAAAATTAACAAATTTCAAGAAACATAATTTTTGAGAGAAGAAGATTTTTACTTTAGAGAGAAAGAGATAAAAAATTGGGTGAAAATTAGAAATTTTCACTAAATTTGGAGAAGAAACAAAATATAAACAAATTTTGCTTCTAAATATATTTTTTTTGCAATTACACAAACTTTCAAAATAAAGGGAAATTGAATATAATTGTAGTTAGTTTGGCATTGAGAAAAGATTTTAGTACGAGATTGGTTCATTGTTTTTTTAATAATAGAAAATAATTTCGTTTAGTATAAAAAGAATTCCTTTTATTCTATTAAAAAGAATAGAATTTTTAAAAAGAAATACTTTTTTTGTATAAAAAGTATTTACGTACAACTAATATAAATGAGAAGTAAGTTTTCAAAACCTGATAAATCCATATTTTGTCTCTGTTTGTAATTAAAGTCTATTGTAATGAATTTTAAGGTTTTGGTAATTTTTTCTAAAAAAAAATTAAAATTAAAAATCATCATGGTTAGGCCAAAATATTTTTTAAATTGAAAATTCTTTAATAATAATTTTTTTTTCTTAAATTGAACAGTGATAAATTGATTTCTAAGAATTTTAATATTCTGAATATGTGTTTATCTCATTTTTTTTTAAAATGGATTTATCAACTTTTGAAAAATTGACTAATGAATTTTTATCTTGTTGTACACATTAAACATTTTTTTCATTCTACATGATAATTAATTGCTTTTTTTTGTTTTCCACCAAAAAAAAACAGGTTCATCCCGTGACAAAGATTACAATCCATTCGCAGTGGGAGGATCAAATGACAATTATTCAGAAAGTCCAAGGGATTCTAGTCCAAGAAGTAGAAGATACGGTTCACGAAGTCCCTCCTATCATTCGCGTAATTCACGCGATAGAAGTCCAAAGTATGGTTCACGATCATCATGGGACAGAAGTCCAACGTACGGCTCAAATCATTCACGAGAACGAAAATCATCGTGGGACAGGAGTCCCGATTATCACAGGAGTCGTTCACGCAGTCGAAGTCCTTATAAATTACGAAAACGAAAAAATTCATGGGATCATAGTCCAGAAGGAAGAAATAGTCCATCACCGCAAAGTTCACCGAAATTCGGCTCGGATTATGTGAAAAATTATAAGAAAACTAAATTACCACTACCAATAAGTGATCCAGCACCTGACGAGGAGAATCCATTCATTAAGGGATCATCGCGCGATCAAAGTAATGGAAACACATCGCCAACGCCAATTCCAAAAAAAGTATTTCCATTTAATCGAGGACGTGGACGAGGTTTCAAGTCATATCCAGCAAATTCACGTGGTCGAGGTGCGAAATATGATATTGTAACGCCATGTGCATTTCCAGGGCCGAGGAGATTTTACAATGGCAGTTAATTGATATTTACGAAAATGGATTCTTTTGTGTCGCATGATATGAATTTGAAAATTATGAGAGAAATTGCTTTTTTGTCGAATGGAAAACTAGTATATGAAAAGGACGAAAAAAACGAACAGTTTAATTTATTTTATAATTCTGATTATATAATGTTGAACGGAAGACACGTAGGTTTATTGAAGAATATTTCCGATGCCATTTGTTGATGGGATTATGTTTACTTTTGTGATAGTAGTCCACCACGTAAGTGTGAATTTTTACATAATTTTTTTTTCTATATGAGAAAATTTTACTCTTACAACTGATTTATTAATCTGCATGTACTTCGTCAAGTAGATTGCAAAAATTGTAAAATGTAATTTTCGAGAAATTTCTCATTGGTACCACAAATTTTTCCATTTTTTTTCTTTTTTTCAGAATTCTCTTGTTTATCTCGTATAAGAATTATTAGCATAAGAAAAAGTAATATAATTTCAATCGGATACAAACTGATATTTCAAAATTAATAATTTCGAGAAAGTTTATTTTGTTCTAATTTGTGAACTTTTTTTTATTAATGCATAGACGCGAATTCTTTGAATTTAATAGTAGAAATATTTGAATAAATTGAAACTAAATTTAGTTATATTGAAATAATAATAAAAATCGAAATGACAGTTCGTATCACGTGCCATTAAATGATAAAATTAATAATTTAAGTAAAATTGTGATTAACTAAATTATAATTGATTGAAATTTTCAACTTTCGGTTGAATTCAATCATTTTTTTAGCTTTCGACTAAAAATTTCTTGCATAATATTATAACATTTAACGTAATAATAATAATTAAAAATGTAGATAAAATTAATTGAAAATTGAATAAATTTCAAAAATAAAAATATTAAAATATAAAAAAAATTATTAAAGACATTTCGTTGTCTTGAAAGTTAATATAAAAAATTTGAAAGCTATGAAAATAGGAAACGAGAAATAAAATTGTTCCTCAATTATTGTAAAATAAAAATTAAATTAATTAAAAACTGGAAATTAATTCATTTAATCAAATTAAAATTGATTCGAGATTAATTTAAAATTAAAATTAGTCCAATTAATAATTAAACTGATATTTTGATTGATCAAAATTGAAATTCGATTAAATAAACTGAAATAAATTCAGTTAATCCAATTTAATTAAATTGTCATTATTAAGTAAATTAATTCAATTAATTAAAAATCGTTAATTTTTAATTTACATTTAATTTTAATGAAAATTTCAGTTTCATAAGTATACTGAATTTAAAATAATTGTGTGTTATAATTTGATTACAATTTCAAGAGAAATTTGTTGAATAAAAATTTGTGGTTCCAGAGGGAAAATGTTACCATTTTTTTTTAATTACACGTAATCTTCTCATTTATGTGAGATATGAAAAGAAAAAAAAACATTGCTGACAAGTAAAACCTACGTAAAAAAAGGCATTGTATGTATATATTGAACATTTGTTTGTAAATATTAACCATTGAAATTCGAAATTATTCGAATTATTTTGAGGAGAGACACATATTTTCATTTTATTATTGATAAAAAAAGAAATGGACATTTTAAAGTGGAAAATTGAATTCCAAGAAACGTGAATATGTTAACAATCTCGTTACAGAGGTGTAATTTTTTTTTATATAAATTTGTTTAAATTTGATACCTAAGTGGTCGTAAATCAAGCTACTTAAATATATTTTTTTTCACAATTTGTCTTTAATTTTTTTTTATTTATTGTAATTTTTTTGTTTTCTGTTTTTTTTTTTTTTTGAAAAATTGTAAACATATTTAAATACGAAGTTTTTAAAATTTGTCTATTTTTTATATAATTTATTAATTATTAATATCAGTTGATTCTGATATTTGTAACAAAACACTTTGACCACTTGTATAATTTTTTGCCATATTAGTTTTATAACTGATTACAAATTTTTGAAAAGGGGATTTTTAATGTTTGAAGTCTATTTGAAAAGAAAATAAATCATTACAAGAAAAGTCTCTGCTTGGTATTAGAATTATGAAGCAAAAATTTGATAAAAAATAATTTTTTTCATGAACGATAACAAATGTTTGTAAGTGAAAATGTGTCTTAAAGGATATTCATCTTTTACATTATGTTATATATTCCATAGAATTAAGTGAACTGTGCATCTAATTTACACCTATTGTGTAAGATGAAAGGTGTTAAATATATATTAATTATACATGTATATCAACGTATGTATATGCATATATATTGAATACCAGAATACACTAGAATTATTTTACAAAACTTCTCTTTATATATTTGTGAAAAAAAAATCTTCAATATTATTATTATTAATAATAATATTTTAGATTTCAATCCCTTAACGAAAATCCATTTCTAGAATCGATTGACAGCAATTTAATAAAAATTCTAGATAAATATTAATTATAAATATTAAATTCGTTGAATTCTAAAAGAAACGTAAAATTTTATTTTAGAGAAAAATGATGAGGAAAAAAATGAAAATACTTGTTTGCAATAATTTTCAAAATTAAGAAATTTTCGTATTTCTTTTTTTTTTTAATTTTTTATTATTTAAATTATTATTTTTATAGTGATATATTTTTTTTGAATTGAAACGAAAGTAATGATGGGTTTATAAAGAATGATATATTCGTGAAGAATGTAGTTAATTTTAATTAAGGACATTCTTCGTCAAATATTATAATTTAGACACACAGCTGAGAAAGAGGCTTGTGGAATTAATCTATTAATGGGATTTTAAATAACTTGGTATTCTCTGCTCTATATCAATTTTTGTCTTCACCATCAGAGTGAAGATATGACCTTGGCATTTAAACACTCTTGAATCGGCCCTTCGAATCTAATTTCAACAATCTCGTTGACACGCCCAAAACTTATTTTCTATATAGCAAAAAAAAAAGAGAATAATTCCACATATTAATAAAAATCTACAGACAATTTATCATTCAATAGAAAAAAGTGTTAATAAATTCCATCTTTTTCTTTACAAAAGATAATTCATTTTTATCGTTTGCAGTTTATTTACTATTCAAGAAACAAAAATTAAAACTAAATCAAATTAAATTTAATTTAATTTAATTTAATTTGATTTTATTTTATTTAAATTATATTTAATTTAATTAAAATAAAATCCAATTTAATTTAATTCAGGTAACTAAAATAAAATTGAATTAAATTGAATTAAATTTAATTACAATTTAAATCCAAAAAAAAATTTTCCAAATGATAATTTTTTAAATACTTTTAGATATAAAATTTAGCAAAAGATTCTCTAAAAGATGATTTTTATTTTCAATAATAATTTCTTTTTTTTCTCTACACTTTTTGGTCGATCGAATTTAATTGTTTAATTTTTTTTTTTTCATTTATTTTCAGATTGAATTTTCGGGATATTCGAGTGACTTTTATCCAAAAATATCGGGTTCTTGGACGTTCACTTTCAGACGTTTCCCAAAAATTACACATATCCTTTTCTGAAATTTCAAAGTAATTCAAATTAATAACGAAAGCAACAAATTAAAAAGGATTAAATAATTTTCTTCTAATTACATTTATTCGCAAGGAGAAAGGAGAAATATTTCCGAATTTTTTTTTTATAATGAAGTTAGTTTCATGAATTAATTTCTGTTAAATTCAATCAATTGATTACTAAATATTTACATAATTGATAATAATAATAATGATGATGGAATTAATAATTTGAATAATTTTTGTTTGCCAAAGGTGTTTACGCGATGTGATGATGATTATGATGATGGTGATGATGATTATAATGAAGATGATGATGATGATGAATTAATGAGTGAAATTAACAGACGAGTTAATTGAAAAAATGGAAAGCAATTTGATGATGGCGTGAGAAAGTTTAAAAAAAATATAGGTATTTGTGAAACAATTTGAACATGACCTTTTCTGAATGCCTTGTGCGTCAAGTACAGAACAAAAACGAATCCTCAGTCTACTCACTTGACAATAAGAGTCATTCGTTCCAATCAGTACATCCTCATTGCAGACCAACATGATTCGCATGGAACCAATTGTTTCACGAATTTACTATTATAACAATTGTATGCGAAGAAGAATAATAATGTTAACTCGAAATTCAACTATTATTTTCCTTAAAAATATTAATATTCTTCGCCAATGCAATTGAATGATAGTAAATGGAAGATATTTCCAATTCAATCGAATTCAATTAAAATCCATTCTATTTATCAATTTAATTTATCAATTCAAATTATCAAGAAAAAGACAAAATTATTTTGTTAAGTAAGTAATTTTTTTATCCAAATAATTCTCAATCGATAATAATTAATAATAATTAATTATTTACTTGTTAATTATTATTAATTAATTAATTTTCAGTATTGTTAAAATTATTAATCCATTAACAAAATTTGTTTTCTCTCTTTTTTTACTGCACAGAGTGGAATGAGAGACGTTTCTTCAAAATTATAACGAGAAAGAGAGATGAGGATTGTGATTGAAAATGAAAAGAAAAAGAAGAATGAAGTAAGAGTGTTTAACTAGAAAATATTTAGCGAAAGTGTGATAATGGAAGACAAAAAGGATTTAAGTATATAATGAGTGCAAGAAAAAGTAATTTGTGGTGGATCGCTTCTTTTTTTTTCTCTCTCCTCTTTTGCTCATGAATCACGTTAGCTTTCTCATAATTATGTGGCTGACATTGTTTTGAAACAGAATACCTTGAAATACTAGGAGGAATGCTTGAGATGTTATTATTCCTGTTTCAATTCCTGGGCAGAATAAATTGTAACATCATGAATATCATTGATAAAGTAATTATAAGGTATGTATAAGTCAAAGCATGCAAAAGAAAAAATTTGCATTCGGTGGAATGTGCGTAATACGATTTTATGTTGCATTTCAAAAGAATTCAAATTATTCATCGGTTATACATTATTGATTATTTAGAGCGATTCACTTTTTACAACAAGTTCCTTTTTTTCCATCGAATTTCAAAGTTTTTTTTCCTTCTTTTTTATAATGCAAATATTTTCTTATTCGTAAATTTTTTATTTATAGTTTCTTTTATTTTTTAATTTTGTACAATAATAAATTGACCAATTGGCCAGATATTTCAGAGCGTAGCACAAACTTAATTATTGTTAAAAATAAAAATTAAATACTTTTTTTAATTAATTTTTGTAATTCGATTTTTTTCTTTGTTTAAATTATACTAGTTTCAATGTAAATTTTCTTTTAATTTTCATTTACTATTTTTTTGTACTTTATATTTTTTTTCTTTTTTAATAACACGTGACAACAATTGCTTGTCAATTATTATTATTCGCTATCTGTTAGTTATTTTTAGTCACATTTAAGAAGGAAACTACTTTAAGTTTGTAGAATTTATTTTTAATTTATGGAAAAAAATGTTTAAACGAAATGTTTACTTTTTTGCAAATTTTAATTTAGGAAAGAATCTGTCGAACAGTCAAAACAAAAGTTATAGTCGAATGTAATTATTATTTTTAAAGAAAAAGACTAATTAAATATTTTATCGTTTTGGTGAATAAGAGTAAAGAATTTAATTTTCAATATTTTAGATAATCAAAAGTTGTAATTTAATTGGAATTATATATTTAAAAACGATCATTGAATTTTTTAAAAGAATTTTATCAAAATTGATGAAATTTTACTAGAAATTTTTTTATTTATGAAAATAATTGAATTTTTGTGAAGAATTTTTATAGATATTTATACTGTTCTCTAAATTTGAATTAGTTAAAAATAATTAATTTGAACGTAAAAAATGAGTCACTGATTTTTGTACAGTATGTAAATAAATTTAAGAAAAAATTATCGAATTAATAGAATTTTTGTGAAATTCAACTGAAAATAATTAAATTTGTTAAAGAATTTCATTACAAACTTTTTAACAAATCAAATTTTTTAAAGTATTTTAATTTAATAATTGATAAATAATTGAATTCTATAAAGAGTCACATTCTATATTGTATTCATGTTTCTTAGAGCGAAGATTAAAAATTAAAATTTTTATTATTTAATTGAAAAGAAGATACAGACTTAAAATTTTTTAATAAAATTCAATTTTCTAAAAGTTTTTTTAAACATTCTGAAAAATAAGATTTTTGAAATTTTCCATTCTATTGTTTCAAGATAATTGAATTTTTATAAACAAATAATTAAAATTTCTTTACATTCTATTAAAAATAATTAAATTACTTGTAAAGAATGTTATTTAAATTTTTCGAAAATACAATCAAATTCCTCGAAAAATGTAATTATTCTTAAAAATTTTATTAAAATTCATTGAAAAAATTCAATTATTTCTGGAAACTGTGAAAAAATTCTTCTCAAGAATTCAATTATTTCCATAAATATCAAAATTCTTTTGAATTTTATTTTAAAAAAAAATTCTTCACAAGAATTCAATTATTTTCATAAATCTCCATAAAATTCTTCGCAGAAATTCAATTATGTTTAAAATTTCCTCAAAATTTCAATTATTTCTATAAATAATTAAATTGTTCTCCACAATTAAATAATTTTCAAAAATTTTATTAAAATTCTACGCAAACATTTAATTATTTTCATAATTAATAACATTCTTTGGAAGAATTCAATTACGTTTATAAATAGTAAACTTCTTTGCAGAAATTCAATTAGTATATCAATACATTTTAATAAAATTGAATTAATCAAATTTTCAATTACAATTATGAACAGACAAGTATTTTAAAAAATTGAAAAAATTTTTTGTTTAATTCAATCATTTTCCAAATTTTTAATTAAAATATTAAAAAAAAACATTATTTTCAAAAAATTTAAAGAAACTCGTCAAAAGAATGTAATTATTCATAAAAACTCTAATAAAATTTTTGGAATCCATTTGTAGATTTATTTATGTTCGAAATCAAATAAATTTAAATTTTATGAGAAAAATACCGGGAAAAATTAGGATTAGGATTTTTTGATTTTGGACATTTTTATTTTTTATTCAAATGTAAACTGTAGAAAATTAAATTCTTTACGCTTCTATCAAAAATAATTTTGATTTGTTTTTCTTTATAGGTATTTAAATTGGAAATAAGGAAATAAGATTAACTTTCGTTATAGATTTTTTATTTTACTGTAACTTACAATTTTTAAACTTACTTAACTCAGTAAATGGTAAATATTCTTTAAATAACAATAATGTATAAATTTTCAAAGAAAGAATAATTTTTCTGTATGTGTGTGATGTAAAAATGTATTTTTATTTATAGTGAAAGTAAAGACAAAAGGGATTTTGTCCCTGTGAATCGACGCCACTGTCAGGACGCTGTCAGTTTGACATTTCAGATTTCTCCCTATATCTTCTACGTATAAATTTAGGTGAATGTTTTCGGAGCACCCTGCATATATGTATATACATACAATATATATGTAATGCAGTTTCGTTTCGGCTCATGCGAAATATCCTTCTTTCCTTCTCATCAGGCCTTCAAACAATCTTCATCCACTCGGCTCCTAACTTATATATATTCAATGTTTTTCATGCTGCAACAAAAAATACAGAGATACGAAGAAAGAACAACACACGTGTTTCACAACACGTGTTCCGGCTATAAAGAGGAATTATACCTTCAAATTCCTTATTGTTGTGTGTGAATTTCGAAAAAATATTTACACTCAACTCGAAGGAAAAAATCACGCAAGGAACCAAAAACAAATTGGATTTTGAGGTTAGTATACATATATGGTCTATATTTGAAATTCAAAAATCTGTAAAAAGAAATTATTCTAATCAGTTGTGAAAATTAATTAGATTGGAAATTTTGAAAATTCAAAAATAAAAAATTACGGTTAATTTAGGGTTTTAATGGGCAAAAACATTTTATCCGTTATTGTTATTTTTTTCTCTTTGTAAAGTTGTAGAATATTAATTTCTTAAATAATCGCTTCTATTTGAAAATTTTTAATACTTTTTTATTCCAATTATCGAAAAATTGGGAAAATTTCTTTTTCTTCTCAATGCACGGGGCGCAAGAATTATACATGCACGTCCCTGTTATAAAGAAGATGCGCGCGCACGTAAAAGAGGGCGCGATTCTATGCGCATGGGAGGGGCGCATTGGTAACTTAGCAACGGCAACACTGCGCACAGCGTCGCCGGTTTTCATATTATATTGAAAAAGCCGGCTTCTTGAAACTGATAGAACGCGGCGGCAGAACGACGTTAGCTTTCGTCGTGTACAGTATTGTGTTGTTGTTCCTAGTTTGTAGAAATCATTTTAAAACTTTTTTTATTTCCCATCTCTTAGTCTCTTCTCTGTTTTTTCCCAATTCGCGTGGTAGTTTTTCACCTTTTTGGTTTTTATTTGGCAACAATCGGTAAAAACAAACAACTGTTTTTCTTTTTAAAAAAAAGAGAGTTTTTCCATTGATCGGCGTTTTTTCGTTTTTGTATAGTCCCCCGTAAAGGAGCAAAGGAAAGTTTTTGAAATATGGCCGAGGATAAGAACGAAACGAGTCCTAACGCAGGGGGCGAGCAACCCGCGCAGGAAATAACTCCGCCTGCCAAGGACGAGGCAAAAGAAATCGTCAAGGAAACAAAGAAAATTGAGGAAAATGGCGAAGGTGAAAAACCTAATGAGAATGGTGAGGAAAAATCGACACCAGAGCCCAAGGACATGAAGGCCATCGTACTCAACGGATTTGGCGGACTTAAGAGCGTTAAGGTCCTCAAGAAGCCTGAGCCGACCCTGGCCGAGGGAGAGGTCCTCATACGAGTCAAGGCATGGTGAGTACACACGGAAATTCATTGTTCTTGTCGCGCTCGACTTCTCGCATCCTGCCCAAGAGGTCCAGGTGCTCAATGTTAAGCCTCACTTTGCAAAATAACGCCCTTGCGCTTCTTTTTTTTTTTGACACTAAGCTTTTTTCCGGCAAATAATAGCTAATTTTTCAACAATTAACGTTGAAATGTAATTGCCGCTTACAAATGATCGGTAATTTAGTTTTATCATTGTTTTCCTATACAGAAGCCTCTGTTGAGTTTTTGACGCTTCGCAGGGGTTTTGTTTTTCAATTCAACCGTTACTTAACCTCAAAAACTTTTGTAAAATCTATTTTTTTTGCTAAAAATTAACTATCATTTCTACTTTTTAAACTAGTCGAAAATATAAATTTCTATGTACTTGTTGAGAAAATATTCAAAAAATTAGCTAGGATTGAAATATTAACTGTAGTTTCTTTGTTGTCGAAATACAATTCTTAAGTGGTTTTAATTATCAAGCTTAATAGGGTCGACTGGTTTTGTTTGTAAATGTGTCCGGTAATTATTTTTTCTCTTTCTCTTGAGGACAAGCTGCTTAGTTTTGAATGCTTAACACAAACCAAGCTTCTCCCAAGCTTATTGTTAGGATGCTTCAAGCTTGTTTAAATTCGTCATATTTTCGATTTATAAAGTTTCGATACTCGTAAATAATTTTTTTTGTAATTTTTCCTAAGCAATTTAGTAAATAAAAAATTTTCCAAATATTGAAATTAGATTTATGTAAATTATACATATAATTTGCGATTTTATTAACAAGTCTATTCTTTTTTAGGTTATGTTAAATTTATTTTTCGTATTTTTTCTTAATTTGCTATTTTGTTTCTCGACTATTTTTTAAATTAGTATTAAATGCTTAATATTTCATTTTTTTCAATCTGACTTTTGGCTTTACTTATTTTTGGTTTTTTTTTCTATAAAAATTCCGATTCTTCTTCGTAGAAAAACGAGTGGAAAAATTGGCAAATAGGGCAAATAGTTTACTAAATTGAAAAATTGACCATAAATTGTTAAAATAGTGCCACTCCTTATTTTTCATTTCAATAAATATAACAATTTGAATTGTAAGAATCAGTAAAATGAACATTTTTAAACTAATACGTCCTGTGTGAAGCATTTTCGCCCTTTTGGCGGCGCGTATGATCACCGGATGTACTCATTTGACATATACGTACATGTGTTTTAAGTCTTTGAAATTCAGAGCAGGAAACCTTTTTAAAAAAGCGGAAATGGAAAACTAAAAAGTTAATTTTTAATCAAATCGATTAATACAATTTTAATTAGCATTTTTTTCTCTATATATTTCATTTTTTTAAGAGATGTGTCACTAATATTTAATTCGACAACGGAAATTTCTATTTGTGACCCCCAAAAATAATATTTAATGAATAATGCTCTTGAAAAAAAAATTCATTGGATATTTTACGAGTCAGGAAGTAGAATAATTTTGCAATTTACGTTGTAAAATGCGAACTTATCTATAGTTTAGTTAAATTCGTGAAATAAAAGGAAAATAAAATTTGCGGAAATAAATTTTAAACTTGACAATAAAATAGGGGGGAGAAAAGGATTTTTTTTCTAGTTTTCCCCCTTGAGAATATTATGTATCATATATTATAATCTGTGCAATCTTTGTTGGCATATCAACCACAAGTAGAACGTGATATTCAACTTTCCTCACTTTCTCTGTGGCTTTCGTACATTTTATATCAGTTTACATTTTATTTTTTATCTAGGTAAACAAATATCTGCGCAATTGACCAATATATAGGGGCATTTATTTTCTTTTGCATGTACTTGAACCGCTAAATGCCCGTATCCACTTCTCGTATTTAAATGTTTAATTCAACTAAAATAATTTTCTCTCCTTTCTCTTAATTATCTTTTTGTGTTCTTTATTACAATCATTGGATATTTCTTTCTTTATTTGAACTAAATTTCTTGTAAATTATCCTTTTTTCTTTTTTTGTTTCTATTAAAATCATTTTGGTAGCTAAAAATAATTTTTATTTAATTAATTTTCTATGTACACTTGTTATTTTCTTTTTATTCCAATTTTTTTTTATTTACATTCTTTTGAAAAGAAAATGGTGATTAATTTTATTAAAATAATAGCTCATTATTTTTGTTTACTAATTTACATATTTCTTTTTTTTTTTGTATTGCATTATTGTTAGGAATGAAAATGAAGAAATTATCGGAAATTATAACGGTTCTACTTGTGGTATGCAGAGGGTAATTCTAAGTGATAAACTTTTAAACATTGATAAACTCGAAAGTGATTCTTATATACATAAATAGCAGACATTGTAGAAACGTCGCAATTATTCAATGAAAACTAGTGCCTCTACTTTATTATATATAAAGCGAAGGCGTTATTCATTTTCAATTGGATGCAAATTAAACTTGAATACCACATTTTTTTTGTATTATGTGTCTTCGTGCTTTTGACTCATATGAAGATAATACGGGATTTAAATATAATTAAAAATCCAAAGAAATTTTTTTCTCCACTATGACACTTGCGACTTTCCATGACGCCTAATTTCAATTGAATTATTTTATCGTCACAGAATTTTTTTTAAATGAATAATTAAGAATTTTTTTAAACAAAAAGTTAATCATTACACGGAGAAAAATATAAAGTAACTTTTACTACTCTTATAGTAAAAAAAAAATTTCCGGTAAAGCATTTCTGGTAATTTTTACTACATTTGGAGTAAATTTTTCTACGTACGAAGTAAATATTTGTAAAAATTAGTAAAATTTACTTCGAACGTAGCAAAATTTACTCCAAAAGTAGTAAAAATTACCAGAAATGCTTTACCGGAAATTTTTTTACTATAAAAGTAGTAAAAGTTACTTTATATTTTTCTCCGTGTACAAAAAGCAAAAACAAAATTATAAATTTAAAAAATCTAGAAAAATTAGAATTAAACATTTAGAATCTTTATAATTTATTTTTTAAATTAATTAATAACGAATTCAAATTTTATTGCAATAATAATTGCAATAAAATTTGAATTCGTTGAGGAAAAAAATAAATTCATTCATTTGAAAGTTCAGAACTTTAGGGAAATTAATAATAATAATAATAATAATAATAATATAATTGTTGTTATTGAAATTATTATTTTTTATTGTTATTGTAATAATAAAATTTTTACTGAAATAATAATGTCCCTAAAGTTTCGAACGTACAAATAAATGAAAATATTTGTATTACTTTTTTTAATTTGAATTTTATTTACAAAATATTGTTTTTATAATTAAAAAAAATTTTTTAGTTAAAAATAATTAATTACAATATTTTTTGAATTTTAATCTATTGTTAAAAATATTAGAGTATAAAAAAATATTTCGTTTATTTGAACGTTCAAGAGTTTAGAAAAATAAATAATAATAATTATTATTTTTATTATAATATAATTATCATCATTATTAATATATTATTATTTTAAATTAAAATATTAATATATTTATTATTATTATCTTTGTTATTGTAATTATTGTATTTTAATTATTATTATTATAGTAGTAAAATCCACCGTGAGGATTTAGGGAAAAGAACATCAAGTTGAAAAATGGATTTCTGTGAGAAAATATTGGTAGTGACAGCAAGTGTATAGGAACTTTAGGAAATCAGGTTTCGGAAAGAAAAGACGAGATGCTGCATATGTATAAAGGTCTGATTATCAAGCAGGTTCAATTATAAAGCATAGACATTTTTTTTTTTGAAAGATCGTCTGAGATCGTATCTTTCTTGATGAGGGCAAGGCGTAGTAAGGCGATAGAATCGCTTCGACCACGGGAATCCTTGAAGGTCACGGTGACTCTTGAATCATTATCCTGATATTCTTTGGTCATACTTTAGTCTCAATGTGTATACATAGGATCGTCAGTAAGAACTTGTCGTTTATTTACATATTTTCTTATCTATTTTATTTTCTATATTTCGTATATCTCTCTCACTTTTACTTTTGTTTATTATTTATTTCTTTATTATTATAGTCTAATAAACATACTTCGATTTCTCGCCATTTCCAGAATTATTTAGTTTTGAGCTCTGGAAAATATTTTGCATTTCTTTTTTTTAATTTCAATAATTAAATTTTTGTGCGTTTTCTAGAAATCGAATTATATTTGTAAAAAAAATAGTTTTTATTCTTTCGAGTTGAAAGTTTTTGTTAGTTTGGAAAAAAATAGTTTGTGTTAACAAAAACTAATAGTTTTTTTTCGATTTGCCAGACTTTTTTAATTTCTAGAAAAAAATTGTGTTTGTTAATTTGTAAAATATTTGTTTTTGTATTTTTGATTGTTCTTGTTTGTTTTCCAGGTGTGTTTGATAGTTTGCTGTTATTGCTTCCGTTTTTCGAATTTTTCTTCAATTAGAAACAATAATTGAAATAAATGAGAAAGAAAGCTTTTTTCGCATGTGATGAAAAAGTGAAGTTTTCGAAAATATTGAAGGAGAAAAAATTGAGGATGTTTGGCGATGATTAAAATTGTCAATTATGAGGCAGAGATAATGAGGATAAAAATATTTATTGTTTGCGATTGTTTGATACGTGATTGAGGAGGCAAAAAGGGAGTGATATGTACAAAGCTTTCTCCAAAGGAGCGATATATAGAGGAGTGACCGTCAAAGACTTGAGGGTCTTTTCACGCGTGACTCACGATTCATAAAAGTCATTGGCATTGATGAGAAAATAGCCTTCATAGAAAGATATAATGTACTCATGCTGGTTGGAGTCATTTTGATGCACAATTTGTAAGAATGCACGCAGGGCAACACAAGAAGTGAACCTTAAAAATGGCTGTCTCATGTTCTCGTATTCCTTTGAAATGCAATCACGTTTCACCGAATTTTCAATACGTGTACGTCCGATTGCATTTCATTAAATATTTCCCCATATTTTCAAAATTCATCCAAATTCCATTAGTTTTCCAACATTTTTTGAATTTTT